CCTAGTAGCCATAGTGATGGTCATTGAGGTGGGCGTAGTGGTCGAGGAGGTTGTACGGGTGGTTGGGGGGGGGGTCGTAGTGGATCGCATTCTTGTACTCACTGTGGTCGTGGAGGACACACTGAGGACTTCTGTTGGGATTTACATGAAAAATCCTCTGGTGCTGCTAATCAGGCTTCTTATCAGGATGACACCTCGGTTGTTGCTTTCATACCTCGGTCTGCTCCACCAGACACTGGGTCAGGTACTCTTACACTGGGTTGAGAGGAGTATGCCCACTTCCTGTCCCAGCAACAGTCTGTTCCATCTCCTTCCACTGCTACTTTTACCCAGTCAGGTACTACTTCCACTTATTTATTATCCTCCACCCGCAGTCCTTGGATCATAGACGTTGGCGCCTCTGACCACATGACTGGTGCGTCTGATGTTTTTTCTACTTATCAGTTTGCTATTTTCACACGTAGTGTTATTCTTGCTAATGGTACTTGTTCTAAAGTTTCAGGTCTCGGGACTATTCACTTGAGTCCTGATATGTCCCTATCTTTCGTGCTATTTGTTCTTCAGTTTCTTTTTAGTTTACTTTCCATTAGCAAGATTACCCGTTCTCTCAATTGTTTTGTAACTTTTTATCCCTCTTACTGTGTCTTTCAGGATCTCAAGACGAAGAGGAAGATTGGTACGGGGCATGAAGCTGATGGCCTATATTACCTTGACTTTGATTCACCTACCCGGGCTCTACAGACCTCGTTGTCTCCTTTTCAATGGCATTGTCGTCTTGGACATCCTTCTCTCTAGAATCTAAAATGTCAAGTTCCCAGTCTCAGTTATGTGTCGTCTTTGTCTTGTAAAGCTTGTCAACTTAGTAAACATCACCGTATGTCATTTCAGTCTAGACGCAATAATCATATATCTAGTCCATTTAAATTAGTCCATTCTGATGTATGGGGTCCAATAAAGAATATTTTATCTAATAAATATCCTTATTTTGTCACATTTGTGGATGACTATTCTCGTGTGACTTAGTTATTTTTGATGAAAGCTCGATCTAAATTATTCTCTATATTTGAGACTTTTTTGTAAGGAAATAAAAACTCAGTTTGGTTGTTGTATACGTACTTTACATTCCGATAATGCTCGAAAATATGAATCTGATCATTTTTTAGCTTATCTTAGTAAAACTGACATTATTCATCAGACTTCTTATGCTTACACCTCTCCATAAAATGATATTGTTGAACGCAAGAACTGTCATTTGTTGGAAGTCACCCGTGCTCTGTTATTCCAGATGAATATTCCCTGATATTATTGGTGTGATGCTGTTTTTACTGCTTGTTATCTTATTAATCGTATGTCATCCTCTATATTAAATGGGCAAAGTCTGTATTCTATCTTTTTTCCTGGTAAACCCTTATTTTTCCTGATCCTTAAGGTCTTTGGTTGTGTCTGTTATGTTCACAATTTGGGTCCTGAGTTTGACAAACTTGACCCTCAAGCTACCAAATGTGTATTTCTTGGCTACTCCCGCACGCAGAAGGGGTATCGTTGCTACAGTGCTTCTCTACACCGATACTTTACTAGTGCCGATGTCACGTTTGAGGAATCTGTTTCATTCTTTTCAGCACCTTCTCAGCCTTTGGATTTGGACTTTGGGTCATCTCCTGTACCACCATCTCTTTCCTCACCTTTAGATATTCCGCTGCCCACTGTGTTACCATCTATTTTACCTCTCCGCGTCTACTCTCGCCGTCCTCGCCCATCAACTGGGGTGCCCATATCGTCTTCCTTGCCACCTTCTGATCCTAGTACATCAGGTAATTTAGACTCTTTACCTATTGCTCTTCGCAAAGATACTCGTTCATGTGTTACTCATCATCCTATTTCTCATTTTGTTTCCTGTCTTCTCCTGTTTTATTTTTCAATTATCTACTATATCTATTCTTAAACATTTACAGGATGCATTATTTGATCCGGTTGGAGGAAAGCTATGGAGGAGGAAATGGATGCTTTACATCATAATGGGACTTGGAATCTTATTCCTTTACCCTCTGGTAAACGGACTATTGGCTGTCGTTGGATGTATACTGTTAAATTTCATCCAGATGGTTCTGTGGAGCGTTTTAAAGCCCGACTTGTTGCAAAGGGCTTTACTCAGACTTATGGTGTTTGATTATGAGGAGACTTTTTCTTCTGTTGCCAAAATTTTCTCTGTTCGTATCTTGATTTCTTTGGTTGCTAATCTTGATTGACCCTTGTTTCAATTAGACGTCAAGAATGCCTTCTTATATGGTGACTTGGTTGAAGAGGTATACATGGAGCAGCCACCTGGGTTTACTGCTCAGGAGAAATACGGTAAGAGTGTATGTCGATTAAAAAAATCTTTGTATGGTTTGAAGTAGTCACCGAGGGCATGGTTTGGTAAGTGTTAAGATGCAGTTTTAGAGTTTGGTCTTCTTCGATGTCAAACAGATCATTCTGTGTTTCATAGACAGACAGATGCTGGATATATCCTATTGGTGGTTTATGTAGATGATATTGTGATTACTAAAAATAATTCTGAGGGGATTGTCAAGTTAAAAATATTCTTATAGGATCGATTTCATACTAAAGATTTGGAAAATTTTAGGTATTTTTTGGGTATTGAGGTGACTCGATCTAAACAGGGTATTTGTTTATTCCAGAGGAAATATGTATTTAACATGCTTGAGGAAGCAGGTTTGCTGGGTGGTAGACCGATTGTTGTTCTTATGGATCCGAATCAGAAATTATTGATAGATGATAGTGCATTGTTTGAGAATTTAGGTCGGTATCACAGATTGGTTGAGAAGCTTAATTATCTCACTATTACTCAACTGAATATTTCCTATGCAGTCAGTATAGTAAGTCAGTTCATGGGATGTCTTAGAGTACCACATTGGGAGACAGTTACTCGTATTTTGCGATATCTCAAACGAGCTCCTGAACTTGGACTGTTATATCAAGCTAATGGACATCTTAGAGTGGAAGGTTTCTTAGATGCTAATTGGGCTGGTTCTCCTTCTGATCGGAGATCAACCACTGGTTATTGCACTTTCTTAGGAGGTAATGTTGTCTCATGGAAAAGTAAGAAACAACCCGTGGTAGCAAGATCCAGTGCTGAGGCTGAGTATAGGGCAATGACACATACGACGAGTGAGTTGACTTGGCTACTACACTTCCTCCAGGAAATTGGGTTTCCAGTTCAACTTCCTTTACAGTTGTTCTGTGACAACCAGACAGTTATCCATATTGCTTTCAATCCTGTGTTTCACGACAGAATCAAGCATATTGAGGTTGATTGTTACTTTATTCGGGACAAGACAGTAGCTGGAGAGATTACAACTCTATTTGTGAAATCTGAAGATCAACTTGCTGATATGTTTACTAAAGTATTGAGTCGTACACGTCTTACAGCTATTTATTCCAAGCTTGGATTATATGATATATATAGTCCAACTTGAGGGGGAGTGTTAAGACTAGTAGGGTAGTATGTGTAAATTGTTAATAGTAAGAGAGTGTATGTGTAATTCTTATTATTGTATGTTAACTATAAATACTAGTGATGTATGAGAGCTAAGTTAAGTTTTTAACCTCTCTTTCTCTCCTATATTGTCTCTAATATTGTGTTATGCTAATCCTCTCAACTTAACAATTATAAATTTATATACATGTAGTCAATTAATATATATTTTATATTTTTGCTACATGTTCTAAAGCAAATTGATTTAGTGTTAGTATTATAATTTGGGGTCATCCATTTTAGTGATTTGGATCACGAATTCATCCCGCTTGGGATCGATGTACTCAGATCGTAGGTCGTCAAGAGTTGAGTGAATTGTTGTAATCATGCTTTAACCTTTGGACTATTCGAAACCCTAGGATTTGATTAAATCTGGAACCTATAGACTGTAACAACCTCTGGCCCTTTTCGAAACCCTAACCCTGATATGCAACAATCTCTGCCACCCAAAAAACAAATCAACCAACAATGAATCTGATTTCATTTAAGAACTCAACAACGATACTTGGACATTCGATCTTTAGCTCCTTTAACATCTTCACTCCATTGTGGTACATTCAATCACCCACATCAACAATTCTTGGACATTCAACGATCGATTTATTTGATCAACAACATCAACGACTTCGGTGGTCAGCAAACAGCGACTCCACCTTGATGACAAATGATGGCTCAATAGTGGTCGGCGAATAACGACTCTACCTCAATGACGGATGATGACTAATAGCGGTGAAGAGTAACGTGCTCTGATACCATGTAAACAATACAGCCAAAGAGAGATGTAATTGAATAGGGAATAGAACACACATCTTCCATTGACAAAAGAGAGATATTTATGGTTACACATATGAGAACAAAAGAATGACTCAGTTACCCCTCACTCACTAACATACATCTTTTTAGAGCATCCAAAAACCAACAAGCAATGGACAGGGTGGCTCGTTATCATACAAACAAACTTTAGAGTGCCATAATTATTCAATGTGGAATACAAGCTCTCGTTATATCCTCCCTCATGTGAGATCAGGGCTCATGCATGAGACAGACTAATAAATGTAGTAATATGCATACCGGATAATTCAAATGGTTAAGAGACTTGGATCACTGACCGCTTTATACTCTATTCTAATGCCATGTTAGAGCATCCAACTCAAAACTAGTTGGGAATGAGTGGAGAGGCGCCTTAAACGTATAAAACAATCATAGGTAGCCCTAATCATTCGATGCTGGATACAAAATCTCTTTACAAATATATGATATGCATTTTTTTACTGAGCATTCTGTGTGTAACAAGTTGCTCCGTCTGGCCATTGACTTATCATTATTTTGGTTTTCAAATAGATGCACTTGAAATTTGCATTACTGTCATCCTTCCCTACACATCACAGGGAAGTGGGCTTGTTTTATTCCTTCCCCCACAGGATTGCGTGTGGGTGAGCACTATTTAATCACGAGTTTCATTAACATGAATTTGTGTCTGTTTCAGGCCGGCGTTTATGAAACTGGGTCAGGTTTATGTGCTGCTTTTATTGCCAACATTGATACCCAATCTGATACAACCGTGAATTTTAATGGCAATTCTTTTCACTTGCCTTCGTGGTCTGTGAGCATCTTACCTGACTGCAAGAATGTAGTCTTTAACACCGCAAAGGTTTGCCTCCTCAGCATGTGTTCTCTCTTTTTGGAAGTTCAGTTTCCTTTTCTCTATTAAAAGAAAAAGAGCAACTCAGATATGGTTTCTATTGTTAAGTCGTTGCACCATAGTTAACTGGCTTAAGTAGTTTGAAATCAATGATGGATTTTGGGGCTGAGGGAAAAAACCTCCAAATTCCGTTAGTTTAAAACCTTGTTTGCTTAGTGAACTTCACAATTATAAGCAGTTTACACCCCAATTTTTTTTCTACAATGGTTTGCCCCAAGGCGGCCTAATTTCTGCTAATGTTCACAATAGGATGCTATTCTGTGGACATTAGAAAGTAACGGTAACAAATAATTGACAACTCAAAAAGATTAATGTATTACCGATGTGGGCAACCTGATATTCAATGACCGTAGTGAAAATTATCAATGTCTTATAGCAACCACTGACTTACATTCCACCTCATCGATACCAGAACATATTTTTGAGGTACTTCTTGGGTCCAATGTGGCATTATGTGGTAAAGAAACAATTATCTCAGTGTTGTGCTCGATTTGACTTTGTGTTTTCTTCGAGATTCTATGTGGTGATACTGCCACTCCTATCTGATTGGTTCACGTGGGAAATGGATGTCAGCACTGATTTATGTCTGGTCTAATGCAAGAAGTAATTTTCTTGTTATTTGAGATGGTTCACCTTTAACTCTTCTCTCGAAGACCGGTATGTCTTTGATAGTTTATATCAAATCACTGCGACAGTCCCACAAGAAGCCAAAATGAGTTGCTATGCTTGGTTCGGCTCTAGGATTTCTCACTGTTGGATTGACTGAATGTAGGATCCTGTTTACCTTTTTTGCATGCTCTTAGATTCTGTTTTAGATGCCTAAATGTTTGTGTTTTGACGCAGTCATACTCATCTACAAATCTCTTTGGTATCTTAAAATAGTTTTCCCCCCCCCATCCCAATAATGCTAGTTCAAATAATTGTGTGCCTAATGGTTTATTGGTTCCACTTTCTAATTCACAAATAACTTGATTAGTTCTTGTTATTTTTTTTTACACGTGTTTGCACGAGTGTGAATGTTTTTTGCTTGACTTATATCATCTCTCTCAGTCAAACTGGAAATAGAAGAAACTTCACCTCACAGGTCTGTTCAACTCAAGTTTGTTGATGTTGGAATAGGCTGGGTTTGTCTATCTGTTTTTGATTTGTGGTTGATGAATAGCATTATAATGATTTCTGAAGTATTCTAGTTGTCTACAGATATCTTGTCCTCAATTTCTCTCAGGGTCATTCTGAATTGGTTTTTTTCCCAATACAAATCTTTTTGCTTCATTTGGATAGCAGCATAAACTAATTTGCAGCTTTCTTGTGACAGATTAACTCTGAGACCACCATTCCACGATTCGTCACTCTGTCGTTGAAAGATGGCATTAATTTTGAAGCATTCCATGCAGATTGGAGTTGGTTTAATGAACCAGTGGGTATCTCAAGTACAAACGCATTCATGAAAGTTGGATTGTTAGAACAAATAAATACTACAGCAGATAAAAGTGACTATCTGTGGTATTCACTTAGGTACCAGTAATCTACTCATAGCTTGGTTGTTGTGCAAGGCTTGACCCTTTCCCCCCTTTTAATTTTTTTTTTTTGGTATTTCAAAGCTTTTCCTGGTTTCTTTTGGCAGCACTGAAGTTAAAGGTGATGAGCCTTTTCTTCAAGATGGATTTCAAACAATTCTCCATGTGGAATCACTTGGTCATGCCCTTCACGCTTTTGTTAACGGGAAGCTTGCAGGTGATGGAAAATGGAAGATGGTTGCAAGGAAATTATTATCTTGGATGTTGCTATTCTCTTTCTAATTTATGTTCCATTTCCATTTAATCTCCTCTCGAAGCTCTTTTTCCCCACTTTTTTAGAAGCACTCCAATGCATTTCTCTTCCACTTTACAATGCAAGGAACATTACTAAATATTATTTGAATTTTAACCATTAAAGATAGTGTCACTTGGGAAAGCTTATAATGATTCATCAGTAAGTAGCTGGTTGTTAGGACTAGGAGTACCCATCAATAGATAATTAGATAAATTACCAGGAAAACATATTGAAACACGAGCTGCATGTCAGAATTTTCCAGTAGAGGTGCAGTCACCAATTCTGAGTTGGAATTTGGAACATGAGACTGATTCCTGCTATTTCTTAGCTGTCCTCGTCGTCCCTAGTGATGTTAAGATGTATTGTTGCGAAATGAAATATGGATTTTGCTAGGACAACGTATGTGTGAATTTTTAGCAGAAACACAATAATTTTTGGCATTAACTTTTGCTTTTTTTGGTAGAATTTTATAATTCATATGATCACAAATTTTGGAGTTGGTTCCACTAAGCTAGTTTTCGTAATCCATGTAGGGAGTAGAAAAGGCAGTGGCAACAACTTTACCAGTCTCAACAATGCTTCGTTTTCCATGGAGGTTCCTGTCACACTAATACGTGGAAAGAACACAATCGATCTCCTAAGTTTGACAATGGGACTTCAGGTTCGACCTTGGTGATTATGATGTGTGCTGGAGTCTTAAAAAGTGACGGCAGTATCTGCATTATAGTCTTGCTGGTGGTTTCATGAGTAATTTGTTATATTGCTGAGCAAGTTCTGACCATAAAAATGTCGCTATGAAGATAGTGCAATCTAATGCAATCCTATAATTGTCTGCAGTATTTTGGAGTATTCTTTGAAAAGTGGGGTGCTGGAATCACTGGTCCAGTGCAACTGAAAGGCTTAAAAAACTGTTCTACTGTTGATCTCTCGTCACGGCAATGGATGTACCAGGTCAATTTGATTTCACAAATATGTCATATATATCATCAAAAATGGAGTTAATTAACAAGAAATTGGCAATTACATTTACATGAGAAACTGTGTTATTTGAATTTTACAACTATTTTCTCCTGGGGAAGGTGTGCCTTTGCGTAGCGGTAAGGTTGCTCCACGGTGACTTGGGTGTCACTGGTTGGAGGATGTTGGTGTACGACAATGTACATTTGACTCTCCCAGAGTGTGGGCCTATTGCATTGGCTGGAGCCTCTTGCACTTGGCCGTCATATTTTCTCCTACAAATCACTCCCAATGTAAACGAGGAAGTAAAAATCCGCATTGCAGATCCTAATTGACGAGAATATGATAGCAGGAATGTAGATTTTCTGCCTTGGATAGATTACATGTTTAATTGTAATTGCAGTTATCTTGGTTTCCTCCCTCTCATCTTGGTTATGGATGCAGATTGGACTTAAAGGGGAAGAATTGGGTCTGTCTCGTGGAAGTTCCTCACTTTGGGTATCACAACCTAATTTGCCAAAGAAGAGACCCCTGATATGGTACAAGGTAATATCAAATTCTTATTATTTCAGTTACAATTAAAAAGATTATAAGGAATGAATCAGGAACATCTGCAATAGAATTGTCAAGTATTTGATTCCAAGTAGCCGCATTACGAAGGTTTACAACGAAACCTAGAAATCGATCACTGATCCAATTTGAGTACCTCTATAGGATAGACCTCAACAGAAAACTGAAGAGTAATGTAATTGTGCTATTATATTTATAAGCTTTTACATATAATTAAAAGAGGGGGGGAAGCAATCTTAGCTCAGACATTTGTCATGGAAGAAGGTAAATGAAGCACTGTTTATGAAGTTCCGATATTTCCTGTTCAGATTTATATGCATAGCTTTGCACAATATATTTATTTCTTTGTTTTTTTTTGGGTCCAAATGCACTTTGTCCATAATATATTGTGACCTTTGTCTATAACAGGTCCACTTTTTTCTAGGAAAGGACAAGGGCAATACATTTTTTTAATAGATAACTTGACCATTGCCAGTTTTTGTGTTCTAGTGACATGCTTTACCATTTGCTCATTTGGTGGACTCCAGTAAGGCTGAACTACTAAAAATGGATATTAAGAAAATCAGTGGTTCCTTCAGTACTAACTGAGTAAGCAATTCTTGTTAACTCAGGCAAATTTTGATGCCCCCACTGGCAATGATCCAATTGCCCTAAACTTAACAGGCATGGGGAAGGGTGAAGCCTGGGTAAATGGGCAAAGCATTGGGCGTTATTGGCCAGCTTATATCTCACCGACTGGTGTATGCACTGACACTTGCGATTACAGAGGATCTTATAGTCCAGACAAATGTCTCAAAAACTGTGGGAAACCATCTCAGCTACTGTAAGTGCTGGAGTTTTTGCTAAGATAAATTTATTGTTGTTGTCACTTTGGTTCTCATCTCGTTGATCCTGCAGGTACCATGTACCTCGTTCATGGTTACAAAAAAATGGAAACATTCTCGTGTTGTTTGAGGAAATAGGCGGGGATCCAACACAGATATCTTTTGCCACCAGACAGATAGGAAGTTTGTGCTCGCAAGTATCAGAGTCTCACCAAAGCCTATAGACGTGGACCTCAGACCAAACAGAGGAAGGGAATCTGGAGCAACTCTTTTACTGGAGTGCCGTTTCCCAAATCAGGTTATTTCATCAATTAAGTTTTCCTACCTTTGTCTACCTCTGTAAGTGCCAGTAAATATACCACTATATTGACTCTTTTTTGGAAGGCGAGGTACTCATGTAGGAGAAACTGTAATTTAACGGGCAAATGCATAGCCCTTATTTAAATTATCTAACTTGAATGCTTGGTCAACAGTACAATTTTCAACTTTATCAATTATCATCAGTATTGAGATAATTCCATTGTAGCTACTCCAGATGGTCTATGAAACCTGCAGGCCTTGCAGAGAGGTGAATAGAGAGATGGAGTCTGGTACTTGTCCTCCCCACCCATCATAGGCATTGGAACTCCTCTCTTGACTGGGCTGAAATAGCCTGGCCTGTAAGTCTTACCCAGAACTCCCTCCACAAGATCTGATAGGTTGAAGAACCTGAACTGTGTCTCCAAGTGAGCAAAAGCATCATCGGCCGGTAACCGGTAACTGTGAATCCGGTTGTCTTCTTCTCCTATCGGTGTCACTTTCACATCCAATTCCACCAGCTGTGTGTGACTGTCACTCTTACAGTGTTGGTGTCATCTGTTCTTTCTACGATGACTTCTCTCTCTCTACTGTAATCCTCCATTCCGCCTCGCCATCCATAGGGACGATAACTGTCTCACCATCCCACTTCACAACAAGAGCATCAAAGTTGTCATCCCAGTGCGAGATTTTCTTTGCTGCAAGGGCAAGAGTGTGAGTGTCGAACATCACTGAGAGGGCTTGAACCCATGTAAAGTCACGAGTCCTCCCCTCCGGTCGGGTTCCAATGAAGTGGGCATTGATGTGTAGGTTGTCATCTGAGACAATAGTAAAGTCTCCCGTCTTGGCTCCATGGAAGTAGAACATCACACCATCACCACCAACAAACCTAGGATCATAACACACAGAACCATATCCATGGCAATTGGGCCTTCTCCCTGACAAGGAATTTCAATTCTCTCTCAAGATCAAAATATTTTTATATTCTTTCACTTCCGGAAGCTAGAAAACATTCTTGTTTAGGTTATGGGAAATTGCACATCTCTTAAACAACACAGGTTTTATGCTCCTCAAGACGTGTGAACTTATGTCTCGCCGTTTATTTGACTACCCGTGCAAGTTGTTAGAATGTATTAAAAGGTTAACTTCAAGAGGACTTGGAGCCAATTCTTTTTACAGCGGTTCTACTGTATCAACTTTTAACATTACTGTTCATTTCAATTTCTATTCCCTTTTTCTGTGATTTTTCATGTTCGTGTTTGCCTTTTGGACCTGTTTAGTACGTCAATCATGTATGGGTTGAACTAGTTTTTACATGAACCCGTTTATGTCTAAACGGGTTGGCACGATATGATTGTCAGACAAATTAAATATGAAGTCCAATAATGAAAATGAGAGGGTTTAGGCCAGGAGGTATTAAAATGAGTAAGTAGACTTACACTTGCAAGTGACTTCACACCTGCTGCTGCAGTCAACAAAGCATCCCTTTCTCTTCCTGTTGTTCTTGGGCTTCCTTTGAGGACACTGAGCTGGGCACGTTAGGATCGTGTTGTAACAAGCCCCTCTAGCTCCGCAGAGAGCTTGTTCCTCCTCCGTCCCTGGTAGCGGTTTCAACGTGCGGTAATGGGTTGAAGCAGCGTCGTTAGGCAACTTCTTTCGATTATTATTGTTGTTGTTGTTGCCGTTTCTGTTTCCATTGTTGCCACCATTACCTGGACCTTGGACAAAGGTGGCTCCTATGGAGAAGAATATAAGAAGGTAAGCCACGAATATGCATGACTTTTTCGTATCCATCTCTAAATTGCATGCGCTTCTTCTCTGTATTGACGTTTCTTCTGTGTGTTGATTTGTGGTATGAAGGGAAACATGGATATAATGGGACTAGAGTGTCCTTTATAAACTACGACTCTGGTGATTAGGCCTTGGAGTTCGGATTAATTCTTGTGAGTTTAACTTGCTCTGATGAATAAACAGCTAAGAAATACTTCACCTTTTGTTCTTGGGACGATGGGTTTGACTTTAAGGGTATGCCTTTTTTTTTGAACTGAAATTCTCTCTATTACATTTTTTTTCAATTTCTTTTTTTTTTTTGTTCAATAGTTGGGGTATCCATACCACTTTTCTTCAATTTCACTCGATAGTAAATCATTTACTGTGTATGAGTGAAAGACCCACTAGTAAGGGTCTTATGTGTATTAAGGATAGAAGATCTATTATTGAGTGAAATTAAATTAAAGTATAATGAAAATGATCTAGATCAGCTTGTTTTTTTTTTTTGAAATGTCGGAAATCGTCATGCTTCAGTTTTAGTATTTGGCTGAGTTAATAAGAAGCAAAGTTCTTGGGACACTCTGGTCTTTGTCAAGTGAAAGTGATTTTTTTTCCAGGCGAAAGCTAAGTCTAGGAATAGGGTAAGCTTTATGCTTAAAAGAGGCCGAAGCAAAGGAATTCATATGATTCTAGGTCGATGGGTCAAGTAGAAGAATAGCAGAAGAATTTGATTACAGTGTTCACTCTGGAAGAACCCTGGTCTTAAAGGGAAGAAAACAGGCAATAGCGTGATACCAAAAAGAAATCTAAGCGTGCAGATAGAGAGCAAAGCAGAAAGAGTCCAAATGCAAAAAAAAAAAAAAAAAAAAAAGAGCAGAGCGCGAAGCTTGTGGTCCGTCCCTTTCCCCTTTAAAGAATTTTTTTTTTTTTTAATCTCATATCAGATTCTAAAATTATATTAGCCTTAGCAATTTGTCCAAAGTGATGAACGACATGTAATTTCTTATCTGTTAGTATTTGACTATTATCTGATACAATTAATCTTTATAGAGAAAGACTACGGTACCAAAAATAGTATCGTATCGAAAGTTATAATATTTTAAGGTCAAATTACAATTTTTTAGAGTCTAAGTCACAACTCCGGAGTCAAAGGATATTATCAATCACAATTCCAAAAGAACATTTAATATAAAAGTTATAAATTTTAAAAGTCAAGGTACTACCCTTAAAAGTGAAGTTACAATTCATAAAAGAAGTGTTGCAAATGATTGAAGTAATTCATGATCAATCAAAACATCTAATGATCGATTTACTCCAGACAATTGTAATTTCATCTTTAAAATGTGTAATTTGATTTTTAAAAATAATTCCTTTATGTAAGGACAAACAAGTGACAATAAAAGATGGGAAATATTTTCTCGTGCAGTGGATGGGCGTCTTTGTGACATATATGAGTTTTTTGAAAGAATTAAATCAAAATTTAAAATTTCTCAGGGTAAAATGTCATCTGTTATTAATTAGTAAAAAGACGTATTTCATGCACGATGCTCCCGTTATTACGGAGTCTAAAGAGGATTAGGTATACGCAATCTTATCCCTGCAACCAAAAAGACTGTTTCTGCGACTCGAACCATGGAGTAACTTTATCATTGCGCCAAAACCCGTTTTTTAATGAGTAATACTACTTGAAATTAGTTTATACTTTCAAATCAAAACCCACTTGCTAACCTAATCACTCATAATTATTGAATTGACAGTGGACCTCAATATTTGTGGAGACACCGCTGTCAAACCAATGATTATGATAAATTAGACCTAAATAATATTTGGAAAAATTTCATTCACACCCATTTTAGTTAGATCTAAATTTAATGACACCCTATCCCGGTTCTAAAACTTTACTGCACCCCATTTTGATTTATACTTTCAAATCAAAGATAACCCATTAACGGTAATTTTTAACTCTGTCAATACAAAAAGTAACGGTTTGACTATAAATTGTTTGAAAATGTCAAAACTATCATTCCTTATGTAAATATACTAAAATGCCCTCAACCATTTTTCCACTATATATACCCACACATTTTGTTGTTTGTGAAAGTCCAAAACGATCTAGGGTTGCTGGAAGACATAGGGGACTGAAGCTAACCATTATTTTTCATTTTGTTCTCCACATTAATCGATCACTACTTAAGTTGGTAAAAAAATTTTTTTTTTTTCTTGCAGATTTGTAGATGTTTTTCATGCAGATTTTTAAAAAAAAAAATCATGCAGTTTTTTTTTAAAAAACATTCATGCAATTTTTTTTTATTTTTTAATTTTTTATCCAAAACACCTAATAGACTTTTAAATCATTAAATCTATTTTCTTATAAGTTGTTGGGTAAGAGGTACACTTTTTGGTTTCTTATTTTTTTTTATTACCTAAGTCCCCTCTGTAGTATTTTGTTATTCGTTATAAATTACAAGGTTTTAGATTTATTTTATAGTTAAAAATAAATTTTTTATAATAAAATTATAATCGATAAAATTAATGTCAAAATTTCATCCATTTCTAACTTCTTTGCTATCATCTGTGCTCCACAACGTCACCTGACCATTCTTCATACATCAATTTTCATATATAAAATTTAAATATTATTTGATAAAATTTAATATTAATTAAATAAATTTGGTCTTAATATGATAAATTTAAATATTAACTTAGTTTTAATTTGATAAATTTAAATATTAATTCAGTGTTGATTTGATAAAATTTAATGTTAATTGAATAAATTTAAATGTTGCTTTAATGAAATTGAATGTTCATTTTTGTTAAATTAAATAACTGACATTAATTTGATAAGGTTAAATGTTAAATTAATAGAATTTAATATTCTATTTAATATATTAAATTTTAATTTAATAAAATTAAATGTCAATTTGGTATTAATTTGATGAAATTAAATAATAATTTAATATTAAATTAAAGAAATAATATTAATTTGATGAAATAAAATATTAAATTAATATAACTAAATGTTAATTTGATAAAATTAAATATCAACTTGTATTGATTTGATGCGATGGAATGGTAATTTAGTTTAAATTAAATAAAGGACATTAATTTGATAAAATTAAATATTAAATTGACGAATCTAAAGGTTAATATAATAGAACTAAAAGGGAGTGCATTGAAATTTTAGAATCAGGAGGGGGTATTGTTACAGGGGGTGTCGTTGAAGTTATATCTATTTATAAGAGGTGTGGATAAAATTTATCCTATAAAATATTCAGGGGTATTTTTATAAATTAAAATTCGCCGTTAACGCCGTAATCTGACAAATACTGAAAGAGAGTAATAGTGAAATTTCAGTATTAGGAGGGGATGTCATTAAATTTAAACCTAATTATAGAGATGTCATATGCTTTGCCATTAAATGTTACGCAACGTCTATCATGCCTTGGATCCCATGACCTCAATTCAAACCTAAATAGATCCTTAGGAAAAACAAATCGAAAATCATAGATAACTTACCTTTGACTGAATCACAAAAGAGATTAACCGAAATGTGTATAAACTGACTCAAATACTATTAACCGTGGAAACAAAAAAAAAATTGCCAGATCATCCTTTACTTCATGGAGAAAAAGGCTTGTTTTGCTGGAGCAGCTTTTGTTCAATGACAACTAAAAAGGCGAAGGCTCTTGCTTGCTGTTTAGTGTTTCTATAACTTAGTGGTAAACCACGATAAAACGGGGTTAATTGTTTTACTAAAACTACATACATTTTCTTTCAATCAATGAAAATGTAAAATTTATTATTTTCATAATTAATGATTACAAATGAATCCGTAGAAGATCTATTACTATAAATAATTTTTTGATGTGATTTTTTGGTGCCTTAATTTTTTTTTTATAAAGCAAACAATTTGTCCAGACCAGAGATGTTGTGGGTAAATTAATTATTAAATTTGAGGAAGGTTAAGTGTATGTAATTTTACCTTGGCCTAATTCTTGTTCATGGCTTTTGAATTTTTTGATGGTGCTCGAAATCAATTAGACCCAACTAAAGAACAATCTGGGGTGTGACTTAAAGGGTGTGAACATGTGTATGTGACACATAATGTGTTAAATGTTAAATGTAAGATGAATATAATAGTACGAGTAGTTCACCATAATCTAAAGACTAAGATTACATCTATTATAAGTGAGATTTTTGTTTCTCGAGAGTTCTATTACTTGAGAAAGAAGATTGTTGTCGCAAGGTATTTGGTTGGAAGTAGGGTTGTCAGTGGACCGAAGCGGGGGCAGAGAGTGTAGTTTTCATCCCCACACCTGCTTAAAAAAATTTGGTCCATCTCCGGTCTACCTCCGTTAACAGGTATAGTTTTCGTCCCTATCTCCGTCCACGGGTAAATTTCTAATCTCCGTCCTCGTCCCCATCCACGCTTTTCTCATACCCGCCCAAGCCCAAGCCCAAGCCCAAGTAGTATAATCCAAAATTCTAAATAAATCTAATATTTTAAATACCCTAACAACATTCTAAATAATCTAACACAACATAATGTAGATTGTAAAATGTAAAAGTCAAAACAATATAGTATTCTATTTAAAGTGTCATTGGACCACAAAAAGAGAAGCGGAACTATTAGAGAGAAAGGAAGAAAAGGAAAATAAAATTGAACTAAGGAAACGATAAAACTACACTTAAAATTTCTTAGAAGAATTTTTGTTATTACAATTCATATTACAACCATAAAGTGTTAAAAGATGAAAACTTAAAATTTTGTTAATTCAATAATTCTCCTTATTTCTTAGTTCACTCTAGTAGAGAAACTCATCAACCTCCGTTCACAATATTTCTACCCACGATGAAATGCAAAACTATCTTACTCTCTCTTATCTGTTTTTAGAGCATGGTCAATCCAAACTCATAACAGTTTCAACCAGTGAGTACAAATAAAAAAAAGAACAATCAGGAAAAAAAGTTGATACGATTATCACATAGCAATGTCACTTATTAGTTTGATTATCATATTTCTAACAATTCGCGCTTCATCCCTGTACGGGTTTTTAGGGTAAGTCCATCCCCGCTTTCATCTCCGTACGGGTTTACACAGGTATCCCCGTATACGTCCACCGTCCAATACGTATAGTTCATCCCCGGTCCAAATGAAACGAATTTGAACAAATACTTATTTTTCTCCGGTCTACTGTCATCCTTAGTTGGAAGCTTTTACCATAATAATGCCTAAGTTACTGCTAGGTCCCTTTTTTGTGGTATCATTAGCTATATATATACATCTCGTTGCTAGGGTTTCGTGGTGATTCTTTTTTTTAGTTGATTTTGTGATTCCCTCTGCGTTTGTCTTGTTCTTGGAGTCGTGGTCCCTGACATCTTTGTGCACCCACTACTTGTTGAATGTAGTACGTGATCCACCTCCACTACCGATGAATTTTTGTCCATTAGGATTGTTAGGTATTGTCCCTTTATCTCCTGTGCACCTGTCGCAGTACAGCTTTTGATGAATAGCTTGCTATCGGACTCCCAATTTTCAAACTGATATTTGTACTTAGCTTGACTATGATAAGCTGTCACCTATGCTAAACTGGTTTATTGCGAGTTTTTATCAAGTTGGGCCGCAGTCCAGCTCAGGCCCAATGAGCGTTATTTGGATGAGGCACTTGGATCGTCTTAAATGAGCCCAAAAGAGTTTGGGCTCTACAGGAGGGCCAAACTTAAATCTATCCTCATAAGATTATTATTTTGGTTTTCTTTATACAGCTTTGCATGCCTAGAAATGTTGAATATATAAAAATAATATTAGTTGCTCCGCGTAATGCACAAAACTAATAATTCCCTGTCACCCATTTCCACCCCAACGTGCAACCCCATGGCCTCCCTACCCTAATGTTATTAGGAAATTACTCATAAATGTGCTAAATTAAATTTAAAAAAAATGAAAATTAAATAGTTAACAAAAAAATGGTGAGAAATTTAAATGTGAATTAGTAGTCGAAGATAGTGAGAGCTGTTACATAGGCAACATATAAAACCAGCTTCAATAGAGACCCAAACTCTTACCAAATTTGAGTAAAAAAAAAAGATAAAAAGCTTCATTTGATATATATCTCTTCAATGAAAAAACTCAAATTTAAAGGAAAAGAAATAATATTTTAAATGAGTATAAACCCAAATTAAAAGAGAGTAAATATGACAATTGGATTTTTAAAAAAGAGTGTAATCTCATTATTGGTGAAAATATAATGGATTTAAGTCTCTCTTGATTTAGGTTTAAAAAAAAATTTCTTCATTTGGTATAGGTATGAGTCTAGCATTGAAAAATATTTTTAATAATTTTTTACCCTTTTAAAAAAATAGTAAGGGTTAGAGATGCTCTACAAATTTAGTTGGAGGGATTAATACATTAACAAATATAAAGTTAAGGTAATTTAGTATTTAGTGAGAGAAGATTTCTCATGCTTATGCAAATTTATTATTAATTTTTTGGAGGTCGGTAGGTAGCCCTAATAGAATTGAAAAAAAAAAAAAAATTCACTCGCCAATTTGCTTTTGAATTAAGTTTCTATTGAAAAATCAAAGCAATAGACATAACTAATGTCCTTTAAAATTACAAAAATAATAACAATGTCATCATATAATTGAAAAGCCTATTCTAAAAAGTTACATTATCATAATGTATATTTTTTCTCTATAAACACAAATCGTCAAATAGGTACATTAAAAAAAATAACATTTTATCGATTAACAAACTCATTAACTGCTAGTTCGCACGAACATTAATATACATTTGCTAATAGCGGTTAAATTCAGTATATCTCTGGAACAAATATATTGAGATGAGACGTTAGACAGACGTCTTTTTGATTAACTACACAATTAAAACTATAATGAACATACATTAATCTTTTATATTTATCCTATAGAAATACCTCTATAAATAGCGTATCAAAAAATCAAAACAGAAACACAAAAAATAATGGATCAGTCAAGTGAGCAAAGAATACAGAGCAACATACAAATGCTTACAAGTTTCTTCAACGAAGCACACGCCAAACAAGATCACATTCAAAAAGATATTGATCGTATAGAATCCCAATTGTACATGTTTAGCAAATAACGAGATGATTGGAAGGAAATGGTGAAAAAATTCAACAGAAAGCTATAAAAGGAGGAAGAAGACCAAAAAACTTGTGGTAGAATTGGATGATCTCAAAATACACAATCATTCAGGTACATTATACGAGTATATATACCCATGAGATATATATATCAATATTTAATTGAGAACAATATATATATATACAAATACATAAAACTAAATATAACTCAAAATAACATAAATTATAACGAACATGTACTTAAACCTACTAACGAATATGTAAAACTTAACTGTTACGATCTAATTTGTGTATCTATCAAATCAACACTTAAAATAAACGATGGTACAGTCCAAATTGTTTGGCTCACGAATTTGAAATTCAAAATTGATAGATAACACCATAAAATTCTTAATAACAAATGCAAAAAAAAAAAAAAAAGGAAACTAATTATATTTTTGGCTGAAATTATGTGATGAGAGCAAAATGAATAATAAAAACACAATAACTGTCCAACCTCTATACTTTTGCACCCACACAGGAACTGCATGCAATTTTTTTTAAAATGCATAGGATCTTTTTTTATATTAAAAATGCGATAAAACTAAAATTAGTTTACATATCAAAGAAGGACCTAACCTAATTAACTAATACATTATTTTGGATGGGCAGAGCCATTTCATGGACCATGGCCCATAACACTGGCCCTAGCCCTGAATATTGCCTGGATTGTTTAGCCCAAGCCCAAAACATTAATCCCAACCCTTATTTCGCCCCTAAATTTCGTAAAATAATTCGGAATAGTGGTGAACGATATAGAGAAATAATCATAATGAGTTGTTTAAGTGATAATAAGGACGAGTTTTAAACTCAGAAGTTTGAATCTTGACAATCTCTTGGAACGTCATGAAAGATTTATTCTTAATAAATACTCTAATCTTGGCGTGAATGGTCTTCCTTTGACCAAACAAGAGAGAGAATTAGTTGAAGTGCATATAAATTAATTCGAATATCTCTTATTATTAAATGATTAAGCCAAAAAAATAAAAAAGAACGATTTAGCGAGACACGAATAGGAAAACATCTGCCATACACCCTCAACTGCAGACAGTTATTGGGATGTGAATTAAGTAGTTTTGAACACGAGTTACACCCGACCCGACCCATTGAAGCCGTTTCGCGCGCGCACTGCTTGTGTCAGCTTCTGTTGGTGGAACATGTGTAGACACATGTATAGTTTGTATCAACTCCAAATCCCTGATCATTCCGATTTCAGAGGACTGAGGAGCAAAGAAGATAGATTTGAACTCAATCAATCATAAGGTAAGAACTTTTCTGGGTTTTCCTCCAAAACGTCGAATTTTAAGTTCCTTCTTGCTTTTTTCAATTTGGGTTTGTAATGAAAATTTCAGCACAGGAAATATATTCCTTGATTGACATCACTTCATTTGTCATTTTTTTTTTTAGCAATTATCTGCAGAAATTTAATAGGTTCAAAATTATTGTGCGAAAATTGGTGTCTTGAAATTTTTTTTTTTGTGGGTTTTAGTTAAGAGGTTCAAAATTATTCAAAGCTGTCTGTCCCAGGAGGATTGCATTAGGTAGCCGACAGCTAGAGTAAAACTTTGCCGGATCCACCATGATAAGTCCAAATAATGATATTTGATTTGGTTTAGTTACTGTGGTATTCAAGCTGAGGGATGAGAAAAACCCATTATGCTCACTGATCACCAACTTTGTCACTCGGATTCTGTTTCTTTTGTTTTTAATTTTGAGAAATAAAGCTTGCCAATACTCAAAATTTTATGTAATTGTTAACTTATTTCTCAATCTCGTTAACTTTTCAAGAATCCTGTTAAGTCCTAAACCTACATTAATTTTTTTTGTGATTTTTGAGGTTAAAACATGAGTTTGAGCCCAAGTCGTGCTTGAGAAAAACTACTGGTCTAGGAATTAAGTTCAAAACTACATGGTTCTGGAGACAAAAGATAAAAAAAAAAACACCCTTCTCAGGGAAACAATTCATTTTTGGCTTGTAATAGTAGTTCAAAGATAGGAAGCTAACCACTTTATAGTATTTCTGATATACATGACTTTTTCTACAATTCCATGGTTATATTCATGTCATTTTTAGAGTGAACACTCATAATTAATTGAAACTTTCTTTCAAGCGAAATTCTGAATGTGGTGGTTGTTCTTCCTAAGACAATTAAATAAGATTTTGTGCAGCATAGAGGAGCATAGAGAAAATGGGAAATCGTGGAAGCAGCCATAGGAGCCAGATATGCAATGATCAACCACAGCCCCCACTTACACGACCTCCCCAACAAGAAGCAACTGTGCCTAATATATCACAGTACTTGAACAGGAATCCTAATTCTCAGTACTCCCTGCATACTATCCAATGCCACCAGTGACGACCCCTCATGGCCATCATCATGGTGGCAGTCCCATCCCGAACCATGGGACGACAAATGCGGTAAATGTGCAGCACCCTTATGGTTCTGTTGCTCCTCCTGCTGTCTCATATATTGAGAATCAGAAAGTGGTGACCATTCGTGGTGATGTGAGTGTCAACAAGGACAGTCTGAGGGTGGAACCTGACGAGGAGAATCCTGGACACTTTCTTGTTGCTTTCACATTTAATGCAGACACTGAGGGAAGGTATATTTTATTTTCCTTTTTAGGCTTTATTTGGTTGCTGAGATTTTATAGGGAAAGAAATGATATCATTACAATGCTGTAGAAGTTACTTCAACTTGAACAAATGGACATAAGGTATTAAATTTGAATTTCGCATATGGATTATGCTTTTATATGTTGGAAAGCTTAAGGGAGAGGAAATGAAAATTCTCAAACATGCCTGTGAAAGGGTGTTATTTGTATTCATTTCCAAGGGTTTTCTTTCCTTTTCTCCCCTTTAATCTCTAAATTCCAAACGATGACACAATAGCACTTACGCAACTCTCAGATTCATAATACTGCCACTTCTATTTTAACGTGTTTCGAATTTGTTTATAATTCCTTTGTTGCTTGAATTACTTTGAAATTTTATTTCAAAGGAAAATGAATTGCAAAGGCCGGCCATCTAGCACATCTTGATGATCTTTCGGGCATGTGAGTGGTTATTAAGTTAGAAATTAGTTACTGGACTATTATTTATGTGCAACTTAACAAATTGAGTTAAAACGATGCTACACCCGTCCAATATTTTAGTTGATTATTGGAAAAAAATGCTTTGTCTTGTGTTTGATTATTGAAGAAACTGTTAAGGGGAAGTTCTTTAAGTAATGTTTCTCTTTTATAATCACTCTGGTAATTTTGTTCTTTTTTATTTTTTATTTTATTTGAAGAGTGCATATATCTTATTCTCTCTCGACCCCATAATGGCGGGAGCCTCATGTACTGTGCAGACCTTTTTTTTTCTTTTAAGGGGCTACCCTTGCATATTTGTTCTACTGTATGCATTTTATTTTTGAGAAATTTCCGTAGCATAACCGCTCTCTCTCTCTCATGTGCGTGGGTATGTAGGTGTAACTCTAGGCATTGTTATTTCCATATGTGTATGTTGCTGTGGATCGTTGGAGGTAACTATGTTAGTAAGGCTTAGATTCTTGTATGCATGGTGAAAGTTTTCCAACACCTATAGATATAGAGTTATGTTTCTGCTTCTGCAATTTAGCAATTTACTTATAATTCGTCCGCTCACAACTTCTTGGATCTGCTTATTTTTTTCTTCACATCATTATTTGTAAGGTTACTTTTTCCTCTTTTCTGCAAGCAGCATCACTGTTTTCTTCTTTGCGAAAGAAGGCACAGACTGTAGCCTGATGGCCATGAAGGAAAAGTCTGCTTCGACCTGTTACTATTCCTTTCCAGCAAGGTCATGGTCAGAAGTTTAGACAACCTTCTGGAACTGGGATTGACTTCACAATGTTTAAAGAGACAGAGTTAGCAAAAGAGAGTGATATAGAGGTCTATCCTTTGGTGGTCAGGGCCGAGGCATACCCATTGAATGAAGGCGAAGCAGAAGGAAATCCACCTGGAAATTCTCAAATCTCCCTGGCATTGTTTGAGAAAAAAGAGAAGGATGAACATCAGCAGGTTCGAGTCAAGAATCAGATCCTTTGTGTTAGTGGGATGAGATATGAGCTTCAGGAGATATATGGGATTGGCAATTCAGTGGATGGTGATTTTGACGGGAATGATCCAGGTATAGAATGCGTCATCTGCTTGTCAGAGCCACGAGACACAACTGTGCTTCCATGCCGGCACATTGTAATTACTTACCTTCCCTCCTCCCCCCCCCCCCCCCCCCCACTCTTTTTTTTTCTCTTCTCAAGAAAAGTTTTGTTTTCGAAATTGGATGAGGGGATCACGGTGCTATCCACATTTAGGACACTACCAATTTAATTCAAGCCATTGCCATGACAAGGTTCACAACTTGCCTTCTCATGTCCCAATGGAACATTGCATTGCATCAATCAATGTTTAGGGCTAGTCCACTATCATTCTAGAAGAGTAGTAAGATGGGCAGAAGGTCATTCATGCATCACTGACGATAATACTGCAAGATCCTTGCTGATTCTCACATAAGTAACAAGCAATTCTTCTAACTTTTTGGGATGTAAAAAAAATTGCTTATAAAGTCTTTTATAGTTAAGTATTTAAAGATTCCAAGTCCTGAAAAAAATATATTTTATCAATACGATTATATTAATCATATTTTAGAAAATTCTTATGATTTTGGTAATAATTTTACAAGTTTGTGAGATCATAAAAATTAGTGTGTTGATTGATAGAGAATGAGAGAAATGGGGAGGGAGGAGATAGCAAGAATATGCAATTTACTGTTTGTCTTTCTAAGACTAAATTAAACTGGCAGATTTTAGGTGACCACCTACATCAATTAGAGCCTGTAATATAGTTGAAAAGTATAGAACAATAATTGAAAACAAATCTTGAGTTATTTATAGTGGTGAATTAGTGTGTAAAAGTTGATTGAGTTATGGATTCGTGTGATATAGAGAAATATACAAAATAGTGTGTCTAGAATGAGAAATAGGTAAGTAAAAGAGAACACATAAAAAAAGGTAGGTCAGTCAGTCAGTCTATGGTAATGAAAAGAGATTGTTCAACAATATACCAAAAATTATAATTTTTGATGATCAAGTTATAATTTGTAGAGTTATGTTACAACTAATTGAGATTATTCCTCATTGATAACGAATGTCGCAATCGATCACAGCAATTGTAATCTATTGTAGAAGATTATGAGCAATCACAAATAACCTTTAAGGTGTGTCATTTGACCTTTAAAAATAATATTTTTTTTGTGATTTGTTCATAGTATTTTATAATCAATCATAATTTTTTGATCGATAATCTCCTCTGGTACCATAGACTTGCATAAAAAATAACAAAAGATGAAGAAGAATATTATACATTGAAAAATACAGGGCATCCTCTCATATGATACCCTAAGCAGCCGCTTTGTGAGGTCCGTGAGGATTTGTTTTGTTGACGTCTGTCAATGGTTGGATCATGGTGGCGTTTAGGATTGTTATTGACTAGGTTTATGTATTGGCATTAGGCCTGTCAATGGCAAAGTATATGTTAGACCATTTGTGATAGATATACTATCATCAAAATCTGTCTTCCTCTCGGGGGAGTAAGTTGAAAATCTGGATACTAATTTGACTTGAGTATCAAACATTGAACCACAACAAGCATTGGCTTAAATGTTGCAAAGTCCCTTACTCTAAGGAGGAGATCAGGAAGAAAAACCTCTTTACCTGTCCCTGTGTGTAAGTGTTTATTTGCTGTTATATTCATTTATAAATTGTAGATATAACAAGCCAACTTGGAGGAGATAGTTTTAATTCATTTGTACTAATCACTAGGATTTGGTTCATGTTATTGGGTGCCGTGGGTGTGCCAGGGTTTTGAGGCTCCAGACAAACCGATGCCCTATATGCAGGCAAGGCAACCAGTTGAACGGCTCATGGAGATTGAGGCGGACAATGAACATAGTGGTAACAGAACAGTAACATAGCCGTTTGGCTCTCTTTTCTTTGCATACTCTCCCGTTCTTCCACATAGAGTTATGCAAAGAGAAGGTAAGATGTAAAATGAAGATTCGGGTACGGTTTCCTTATGTTCTTTCACTCACTTATGCCACTATTCCGTTTGTTGAAGTGGAATTGTTTTGGCTAACTCGACTCATTTAAAAAATTGTAGAGATCAACATTACTAAACTTGTTCAAGACAACCCAAACCTAAATAGCAATGCATACTTACATTTGTTAGCTAAAATTAAGAGTCAAACATTCTCAATTTAACTTGTTTCTCTTGTTAATTAATTGACACTTTATTGATTCTATTCCATATCAAGCATTCTCAATTGACATAATACTTTAACTTGTTCACTGGGGTGTATGTATGTATGTGTGTGTGTGTGTGTGTATATATATATTGATTTTAAATAAGTTGGTGTATATATTTTGTGTTTGGTTTGAAATAATTTATAGATTAATTTTTGTTAAAATATTGGAGGCAAAATAGGAAGAAAGTCAAATTTATTCCCAAAAAAGATAAAATATAAAATAATAAAATGATAAAAATAAAGAATCTTATTGAAATGGTGTTTAAAAAAAAACTCTTTTTAACTTTTTACAAAAAATGCTCTATTTTAAAAAAAATACTTTCTAAAATAGAATGCTTTCTACCAAGAATTCTATTGAGTTGAATTAATTTAAATTTTTAGTTGAATTTTGAATTAAATATAACCATTAAAAAGATGACAATGACATAGTAGATTGATTTAAATTATTGAAAATTAATTAAAGTTAATTAAAACAATTGACTAAAATAAAAAACATAGATGAAATGAAATTATAAAAATGATTTTTTAAAATAAAGAGTATAATATTTAAATATATTTTAAACAGTTAAAATAGAAAACTAGATTAGAGTAGCTCTTATAAGCATCAAGTGTTATGGTTTTATTTCATTCTGCAAAAACATGAGAATGGCCGAGGGAGATAGGAATGACTGAACAGCATTTTTGAAACATCTCTGGGAAAATCCATTAACTTTTAATCCATCAAAATTTACAGGACTGCATAACCATGGATTAGAACAAGTCTCAAAAGAACAATGCAGAATCTAAAACCAAACAGTCCTATTCATCATCAGAAATTGTCTCCACCTTCACTTCCTTCTCTGATGAAACTTCTTCATCTTGAACCTACATAACAAAGTTGAATGTACCATAGAACCATAGAAGAAAAAATAAACAAAAAATGATCAAGTTAACAATAATTATTAAAAAAAAACTTACATCTTCATTTTCAGCATCATTATTAGACTCCAATGCCTTCTGATATTCTGCCTTGAGCTCTGCAGCTCTTTCTACATAAGGTTTCTTCTCCTGATTAACAATTGAAACTAGAAGAGTCAGACACAAACATTTTTGTAGTAATAAATACAAGATTACAAAATCACAATCAACTCACTTCATCTGTGAAGGATTTCCACTTCTCTCCACCTTCCTTTGCAACCTTAATTTGACAAACAAGGGTATGTCAACACATTGAATTTATCAACAAACCCAAATGTAAATTGGTGAAAAAATGTCAAAACTTGAATTTACCGTAGCAACACTCTTACAATCTGGATTAGCCTCCTTGTATGTTTTCCTAAACTCCTCACTAAAGCATAGCAAGATTGTGTCAAAACAATCTATATCTAACTATATAACATAATGGACATGAGAGAGAGGGGGGCATTACAGGAAGAGGAAGAAGGCCGTAGGAGGGCGTTTTGGCATGTTTGGATTTTTAGCTTTCTTTGCCTTTCGCTCTGTTGGTTGTGCCCTCCTCCTACATATATATAAGCATATCCAAATTCAGAAACCAAAACAAAGAGTCCTGAAGAGGGTCCAAAACCCATTTCATTGAAACATCAATTTGACTAAAACAAAAGGGGAAGAAAAGGCAAAAACAAAAAAGGCGGTCAAATTACTTCTCTGTTGCCTTTTTCTTCACCTCGGGGGGATTCTCAATAACCTGGGAATCTGTAACAACAAAACTGGCAAGAATTAAAACACTAAACCCAATTTACTCGCAATGTACCAAAAATTAGAGTGATGTAGAAAACTTGGGTTTAATCAAGATAGAGAAAATTATTACCCAAATTCATTTTGATTTTAGCATCAAGGCTACAATTGTGGAAGCTGATTAACGCCACAGGTACATCTTTGTTGCATTCTTCACTGCAAATTATTGAGAAGAAAACAGAGTTATAGATAGAATCAGTGGTGACGCGTTATTGAACTACCCATCACATACCAAACCCACAGATTTGGCATAATGCTCACAGAAAGAATTGCCAGAACTTCATATATTGCAGACAATCTTAAAAAAATTATGTGAACATCATTCTAAATCGAAAATCTGGGTTTGTGGGAGAGAGACAGAGAGAGAATACCATCGAGCAAAGGCGCTGCCGTCTTTGGCACGAACAACCGAAGAGGAAGCGGAAGCGGAAGCAGAAGCAGGAGCAGGCTCTACCTCGACCCTCTTCCTCACTCTGGTTGGGTTCGAAGACTTAGACTTGGATACTCCACTTCCCGCCATTTCTCACCCACCCACAAAACACTCAAATCCACAGAGAGATTCACAGAAAAGTTTCAGCCTCTGGACGCAGAGGAAAGGTAATGGAGGAAAGAAATGGTGGGTGTGGGCTTAAGAAGAAGAAGGAGAAGAAGACGGAGGGAAATTTAATCAAATTATAGCTTTTCACATTGGCGCCATTAAAATCTAAGAACCGCGGGAAAGAAAATGTGTCTGGTTTTTTTATTTTGAAGCTGGAAATTATTCACACGGATCGATGACTTATTCAATTTGCCTACCGTTAGATTGTTGGGTATTCTTTCTGGACGGTTACGGTTCGATTAGTTTTCCTTCACTTTGCGCTTCTACCCTTTCACTCCGCTTAGACTCCTAAAACAGTAATGATCCGTTTGTTACGATAAAAAACTAAGAAGTTGAAAAGTTTGAATGATCGAAAAATTAGAAGGATAAAAAAAATATCATATTTGATAAAGGAAAAAAGTAAGGAGAATGGAAAAATGGATGGATTAACTTTTTTTTTCCAACTCACCAAAATCAATCACTCCAAAATCAAAGGAAAGTGAATGAAAAGTTAATTATTTGTGTTGAGATGTATCTTATTTGTCTATATATCTTATGTATATATTAATTTTATATAAAAATATAATAGTAAAATATGTATATATATTTTAAAAAATTTTAAAAATAAAAATTTTAAATTAAAAAAAATATATTTTTTCCATCTTAACTACGGGTAAAAATTTTAAACTCAACACGATGACACGACTCAAACTCGATACGAAAATAAATAGATTAATTCGAAACTCAATACGACACAATGAGGTAAATTAGGTTTGACTAATATTCGACACAAACTCGTAATGACTTAACATGAATGTGACACGACACAACTTAACTCGATTGTCACCCCTAATCTTAATCAACACAAAATTTTTTTTTTAAAAAATAGTTATTTTTATTTTTCATACATCCAACTAAACACAAAGGAAAGAAAGTGTATCCTTCCTACTTTCCATTCTTAAAGGATAGAAAATGTATCCCTCTTACTTTACATCTTTCTTACCAAATAGAGCATAAATAATAGTTACTATTTAGCCACTTTATTAGGAGGGCTGTCCATGGGCCGGTCAGCCCTTGGTGGGTTTTGAAATGACCAGTGGATTCATTTGGATTAAAAAAAAAAGGTTTTTGGGTGTGAATATAATTTTTTAGATTTATTTGAACAAAAATATATGAATAAGTTGATTACTCTATTAAATACATTTTTTATAAAATTATTTGTGTTTAAGTACAAAATTCAAATGAATTAAAAATATTTTTACCAAAACACTCTCCCTTAAATTATGCAATTATCATTGACAATTATTTGAGGAAACAAATTTATAAAAATTAACAATAGTAATAGGAGGTAAAATAGGGGTATTATTTATCAAAACCCTTGTTATTCGGCAACAAAATTCTATGGTATGACAATGTGATTTGATTAGAATGTCCCAAATTATATGTGAATAAATATTGAATTTTTTTCAAAAAAAAAAAAAAAAGAATTGGCCAAGATGTTTTGTTAGATATTATGTAATGTTTGTTGTTAGGATGTAAGGAAAAAAGAACTTCTTTGTTTTTTTTTTAATGGATGTAATTATTTTTTAATATGTGTAACTATTTTTTTAATGGGTGTAACTATTTTTTAATAAGTGTAACTATTTTTTTAATAGTTGTAATATTCATGTTGACTCATATAATTTATGAATAAAAAATTTTAAACCTCAATTTTATGTCTAAAATTTCACTATCACTTAATCAAACATATGCTCATATTTTTTTCATAAATAAAAAATTAAGTTAATAAATATAATAATAAAAATGAGTAAAAATATCTTTTTTATACAATAATTAGATCACTACTTGATAAAATATTATAAAAATGAGTAAAAAATATCTTCTTTTTTTTTGTTGATAAAATGATCATCCCTAACCCGTTAATTTTGTATCGATTTCAAATCATACCACTAATCCGGGGTGCGAAAATGAGCAGTGTAGAAAATATTTGCGAGGTACTTTAGAAATGTGTGCTTGGGGTAGGTGGGCTTTCAAGAGAAGAATGTTTAATTTGGTTTGTGTACTTTTTAGGCCAAGGCGAAACTTGAAGGACTGATGCATCTTGCAAACGAAATGTCTTCAATCATTCAGTAAGGATTAAAAATTCGTATTGAAACAATGAAAACATCTTCATTTCAACGATATCAAAATAAAACAATGATAAAATCAAAATTTTAATATTTCAATGTGTTTCATATTGTTAAAATATATTTACACAGTTGTTTCCAAATATTTTAGAATGTTTTAAGATGTATTGGTATATTTTCAACCAATATTTTTAAAAAATAATTTTCAAAATTTTTATTCTATTTTTGAAATAAATCGAAATATTTTCAAAATTGTAATATCCCAAATTTAAAATATATATAATAATAGTTTTTAAGTTAATTTGTAATATTTTTTTAAGAAATGGATGCTAATATATTTAATGAATATGAAGAATTGTAGGTTCTTTAGGGTTTCTTTTACTTTCTATACATATATATGTAGGTAGTCAAAAAAGGACAAAAGAAAAAAAAATAAGAAGAAAGAAAGAAAGGCAGAAAGGGCATAGAAGAGAAATAGGCATATATATATATATATAGAGAGAGAGAGAGAGAGAGAGAAAAGGAGGAGGAAAAAGAAAGAAAGAGACTTGAATCAATCCAAGTTATGAATTTATTATTTAATTTATGGGTTTTATATTCTATTAAATTACGTGATATTAGATTTATTATAAATAGTGATAATGAATATATATAAATTGATGAATATGTAAATAGGTTTTATTGAAAGATGTTAAATTTATGTGTTTTTAAACCTAATTTAAGATTAATTGATCTTGAAGTTGTTTAAAGAATTTAATTAATCTGTCAAAAGGAAAGAAAAGGGAAAAGGGTTACTGGTTTTAGAGTTTCTGTAGGAAGACGGCGGTGAAAAAGCGTAAAATTATGAAAAATTCTTTTTTAGTTTCAAAGAGTTTTATTTTGATCCCTATATTCTTTTAAACTTAATTTTAACCACTGTGTTACTTGGTAAGTTGGAAGAATAGAATTTTGAAAATTTTATGGCAGGGCTGAAAACAAAAAATTCGTTTTTTAAAGGAAATTACACTTTGACTCCAAGAGTTTTAAAAATTATGATTTGACGTCCAAACTTTAAAAAAATTTTAAACAACCCAGAATACTTCTATACCCTATTATCTTGTATTAGAAAGGATATTTATATGTAAATGATATATTAAATATATGTCAATAGATAAGAAGTACATAAAATAAATATACATGTGAATTTTGGAAAATTTGTGGGATTATTTTATATCATTGCTCTGGTAATGAAAGAGAAATTTTGTGTGCGTTGAAACTAAAAGTACAGTTTTAGTATGCGTGAAAATCATGTGTTATGAGATGGGGACTGAGTTACTAAGTCTGAGTGGTAACGAGATTGTATATCGGCGTGATCGGTATAGGAATATGCACATAGGAGCCCGTCATCAAACTAGTGATAACAAGAGATGAGACCAGTTATTAGACTAGTGATAACAAAAGACGGAGTCAGTCGTTAGGGTAATGATGACAAAAAACGGGATCAATTACTAGACTAGTGATAACAAACATGATTTGACAAATGTATTTGAAACTGAATGTGTGTGTGTGAATATTTTGGATTATAAATAGTTTTTCATTTATAAAGTTATTTGTAAAAATGAATGAGTATTTTGAGTTATAAGTGTCTTTTTATTTATAAAGTTATTTGTGATCATGTGAGTATTCTGTTTATATAATTATGTGGGAAGGGTTGAGATACAATTATGTATGCATCAAAGTTTATTTTTGTATATAAACTATGAGATTTATTTTTACACCTCATTAGAGGTGTTTGCTATTCACGGGTCTTTGTGCTCATCCAAACATATTTAATTTTTCTCAGGTGAGGATCAAGGTAAAAAGTAAATCTACAGATAGACAAGGGATTAGAGAACTTGAAAATTTATTTTAATGTAGGTCTTTAAGAATAAAAGTCTTTTATAGTTTTGAAACAAATATCTAATTATTTTGGGAACAATATTGCTGATGTTTAGAGTAGTGAACCTTACGGTTTATTTATTATTTTATATGGATTTAATAATGATGTTGGTGATATTTAGTTTATTCATCTGGTATTCATTAAGTCAGTAGAATGAATAATTTTATTATTTGTCTTTCGCTGTATTTTGCATTTATTATACAGGTTAGTTAAGGCCTTGGTGGCCGGTGCGCCGCCTACCCTATGTAATCCGGGGTGGGAGTGTGACAAAACGGATCTTAATATTTCTGTTTCCTAGATAACTGAAACAAAATGTTTATCTTTAATTACAATATTTGTTTCACTTATAGCTGTAGAGTGTTGCTATTCAAAATATGCTACATGCGTCCAATTCAAAATGTGAAGTAGGCTATGGTGGTAAATATTTTATACAACACCGTCCGTAACAAGACACCGACCTTAACGAAACATGAACCTAAAAATGTTATTTGATCAATTGATATTGTAATGAATGGGTTAGGTTAATGTATGGTACGAATAATCTGAATTTGACATGTTAAATTTATGTAATAGCAACTTCAATTAAAATCTCAAATGACAAATGGAGTTTTCAACGATAATATTTGAGAGTCGCTTCATCACCAATCAATATGTCAAATGTCCAATTGACAATAAGCTAAATTTGAAATATCAATTTTGATATATCAAATCTTTTACAAAGCATTATTTTATGAAAAATATTATGTAACCAAAATTTGCATTTTAAATGAACGGAGATCATTGGATGAGTGAGTTTCATCAAATTTTTTAAATAGAAACCACTGATCTAATAATCCTTATTGATTTGAGTTATATAATACTCTCTCCGTTCCTAAACATCTGTCGTTTAAAGTTTTTATATAAGGATTAAGGAAGTTATTAAATAATTCTAATATGAATAAAAAATAATTGCACAAGTCTAAAATACCCTTATTCAATACGTATTAGGAATGAAAGGTACTTAACCTCCACCTAATTTAATGTATTAAAAGTTATAGGTAAATTTTGAAGAAAAAATATTAATTATGCTTTAGTTTTATTAAACGACAAATATTATGGAATAAAAAAAATTATATAAAATGACAAATATTTAGAAACGAATGGAGTATTTCTCAAAGTTTTTAATGCATGAACCTCCGCCACATGAAGTCATTTAAGACAATATGCATGGACCACCACTATAAAATAATCTATTGAGCAAGCAAATTTTAAACTTTTTTGAAGATAATCAATTTATTTTGCCCCTTTTTTTTGTTTTTTTATTTCTTTTCTATGTCACAATCGATTCCCAATACTCCCAATTCTTTGATTTTTCAATACACTAATCGTAATTTTTTGGTGAAACTTAAAATCCCTAATATATCGGTTGGAGTACTAATGAGGTGAATATATTAAATTTTACATTTTAAAATGTCACATAAGTCTTCAAATCCAAATTTGACATCTCAATTTCAACATCTCCATTGGGAGATACCCTAATTGACATTAGAATTTCGGTAACTCGGCAAATAGCATTGATCAGATTGAATAGAAAGACTCTGTGAAATGTGAGGATCTGAATTTTTATTGGAGATGGTCTTAGACCGAAATTACCCTTTACTTATAGATGGAATACGAGCCGGTTTGGATGTAGATACATTTTATTTATTTATTTTTATTGAATGCATGTTAGACAAAGATACTCCTACATTGAAATTATAAACTATAAGATAAAAAAAATAACAGGAAAAAAGTTAAGAATAAATTCAAAAAACTGATTTCGATATTTTGATTTGGTTATAGAAAATCAATTAGGAAAAAAAATGTGTGATATCCATTAATAATAAAACGACGAATAGAGTAAGATCAAAATTAATTAAGTATCATACTTAGAGCCACTCACCCAATGAGATAGAATTGGAATCCCATAAAACTATTTCCTTTTCTTTTTTAATTACAAGGTGTCCAAATTTATACTGTCTATTCCCTCGAGTTTAACGGTTGGCCACCACAATTTGAATTGGTCTAGAACATGTCTTCGAATGAATAAAAATAACTAACCCTTAAGGAATAAGAAAAAAAATTGAATATGAAATATTTGAGTTACTAAAGGACGGACATAACTAGTAAAAGACTGACCATCGGCCACTCCTAAAGATTTATGTTCTGGTTCTTTTATGGATTGGTAATGTATCTCTATTTTTTAACCAATAATAACACATTGTATACGAATGGATCGATAAATTTTGATCATTATTTGACAGTTAGATTTGGACACGTGGCAAGTTACACATAGTGAATAGTGTTATTTAAAATTACTCTATTATGACCGAGCAGATAACTAGGCTATCCAGGCTGAACAAAACAAGTAGCTAGGCAATTCGGGCTGAGCTAAAATTGGTCCGACCTAGTAGATAATAAAACTCGATTGAATAGACAGCTAGGTTGTCCTGACCGAACAGAGGATGAGATCCAATCAAATTGTCATCAAATAGAAACCGAGCAGATCAGAAAGCTTGAAAAGGAAGGAATGAGCTCGATCCTCGTCACGACTGAGTTGTTTAAAACAGTAACGTGGTGTTAAAAAGATGCCTACAATTCAGGCATTCTGAATAAACGAATAGGCTCAATAGAAGGAATTGTGGAAGAAATCTTAGCAACTTGCTAAACAGAATCACCTTATTATTAGGGGAAGGTGTGTCACCTTGAATCGAAACCCTAACTGAACAGGGTCTGTAAAAAGCAAAAGGAACCAAGATGAAAGGTACGTTAAACTCTCATTGTCTTCAAACAAACGTTTCTATTCTAATACTAATTTAAGCATCGGAGTACCTTCGATCGAAATACTTCGATCTTAGAGCAGTTTGTTCGTTTTGCAGAACAGAAAGATTAAGAGATCAAGTTTAAAGATATTCCTTATCAGAAAGATCACATCAAATTCCTCGTAGAAGGTATCGTTAATTTTTGTCTCTTACAATATACTTTCTTGACTTTATATTTTATATTTTATTATTTTTTAAGTAATATTTATATATCATCCAATTCAAAATTAATAATTGATACTAATAAAGGCATGCTACCCAAATCGGTACCGTTGCCCCGAATCACTTGATATTCTCGAACTAACTAAAAATTCTTTAAAAATAAAAATAAAAATTTCGGTGACACCCCTTCTAATTTATTATATTTTTAAAAGTATTCATTCTATTTTTTTAATCTTCATTGACACTCTTTGTCAGATTAAAGATGTTAACTATAATGCAATTTTATTAAATTGCCCAAGATATACTTTAGGAAAATTTTTATCCACACTCTCTCTAAATATACATATCTTCAATGAGACACCTTCTATTTTTTTAATTTTTTTACGTATTAAAATTCAGATCAATAAAAATTCGAGTCGATTAAAAATTATATATTTTTACGTATTAAAATTTGAGCCGATTAAAATTTAATTGACATGAATATTAATAAATAAAATATAAATTTTAATCGACTTTAAGCGAATTTTAATCGGCAATAAGAACTCAAGTAGATCAAATCGGCTTGAATTTTAATACGTAAAAAAAATTTTAATTAGCTCAATTTTTGATACGTAAAAAAAGTAAAATTTAATTAGTTCGAATTTAATTTTAATCAGTTCAAATTTTATTATGTAAGAAAATAAAATTTAATAAACTCAAATTTTAATATGTAAAAAAATAAATTTTAATTGGCTTGAATTTTATGTAAAAAAAAATTGTTTAGATTTATTTAGGAATAATTTTTGTATTTTAGATGAATTTTTTTTTTATTAAAAATGATAGTTTAAAGAGAGAGAGTATCAATGATATTTAAATACAAACTAAAAATGATATCAATAATGTTTTCGATAATAAAAGGGTCACCGTAGCATAAACCAGAAAAAGCGTTTCCTAAATAAAGAAAACAATGAAACAACGTCCAACCTTAACACTGCAACAAAATTTTAATAATAAATATATAACTGAAATTTATTATCAACGGTAAAGAATGAAACAAATAAAACTTCCAGTCCAGACTTTCACTGTCACCGAATCTATGTATATATGTATGATGATACCAACAGATTCATGCGTATAAATATATGTGTAGCATGTATGTATCTAGAGAAAATCTCCCCTGACGGTGTGCAGGTACTGAGATCGCCGGAGATTCTTTCGCCGCTTCTGGTACACAATTGCCACAAACCCTACGACACACGCAGAGACGATGACACCGATCACTATCCCAGCCCTCTGTCCACCCTTCAACCCACTAGAGTCGTCACCATTGGCACTCATTTCATTCTCATGACTGATGTCACTCGCAATCACCGGAGCCGATGCCGGAGTCGAAGGTTTCTTAGACGTATGATCTGCTGGAGAAGAGCCGGAGTCTGAGTTTTCTTAGATGTAGAATTAGCGGGAGGAGACGGAGAGAGAACTGACGGCGGTGGCACCAGAGGAGAACTTGTTGGCGGAGAAGTGAACGGATCCCCTGCAGGCGGAGAAGTGAACGGCGCTCCTGCTGCGTCTGGAGGCGGAGAGGGAGGCGAGTCAGCGGCGAGGTCCGTGGAAGGACTGGGTGAGATTTCAAGTGGGTCGGCGCAGAGGGAGCGTTGGACCAAGAAGAGTGATAAGAGAATGACGACTGGAAGTGGATGAAGTTTCGCCATTGTTAATGGGTTTAGTCCTTCACGATCTGCAAAGTAAATAGGAGATTCAGATCCGGAGATTAATACAGAGATTAGTAGTGTAGAATTCAATTCTCGGGAAGAGAATGGTATTTGAATTCAAAAGGTAGGGAGATTGATCTGGGGAAGTAAAAGACGGTTGAAAAAAAGTGTGTGTGTGTGTGAGAGAGAGAGAGAGAGAGAGTGGACCTTGGGAAGTGTGAGAAGAGAACGTGCCTGAACTGAAGATACGGAGAAGGGGAATGAAGAAGTGAGATCTGGGTGGAGAGAGGAGTAGTGTGATCCAAGGGACGAAAGGTTTCTCTTTGCTAAGATTGAAGGAGCAGCGACGTGGAGGAGAAAGAAAGGGGGTGAGAATCATGTATTGAGGTGCTTAAGAGAGAAGGAAACTCGAATTTGAATTTAAATAGCAGACGAAGAAGAAAACTTTACTATTATTCACCACCTTCGCTAAATTAGATAAAAATAGCATTTCTTTTAATTTTTTAATTTTATTTATTAATTTAATATATAATAGTTATTTAATTGATAATGAATTTCGAGACTCCGGGTTAATAATGAATGTCATTGTTAATTCAATGATAAAAAATAATAAATTAAATTGAAATAACATTACTCGTCTAATTAATACAATTGTAAGATAAGTCAACCACCTTGCATATTAGATTAATTCGATATAGATTAGGCAAGTTATGATTTTAGACACGACATGTAAATTTAATATAAAATTTGATATGGAATTAACAAATTTAGGTTAATTCTCGTGGGTTCAATTCGTAAATGGGTGAATCCAATAAATTCATAAAACAAATATATTGACACGAATTCAACTAAATACGATTCGAAATCATTATACACGGCTTCCTATACAATTTTATACGTGATCCAAACCTGGCTATACTTATATGTGGTCGAGAATTAGAAAATATTATCTATTGAAAGTGAGCTAGAATATAAATATAATTTCTTAAAATTCAAGTTTCACTAATTAATTCTAATGAGATTGGATTTTCATCTGGACGAATTAGAATATGGAGTGCCGAATTTAAAAACAAGATGTAGATTCAAGTTCTTAAATAGCATTTGAATTTTGAAGTGCACTTATTTTCACTAAATCATATTTTTGTCATCCATGAAGCAACGGAGGAGATATAAAATCTCGACATCCATTCCAAAGGTTAGCTTAGTGATAATTCGATCACTTGACGAGTGTCTTCACAGACGTAAGTCAAGGGTTCGAATATCCCACGAAATGTTCACCTTTTCAGGATCATCGTCCATAGATTTATTTCTTTGCATAGAAAAGTGACTTTGTACAAGATTCAGTACTAATATAGTAAATGAACGAGATAACGTACTGCTATGATTTATTAGAATATCTGGTTACCCGAAAAAAAAAAAAAAAAACCTCGCCATCCAAGTTAATTTGCGACGTGAGAAGGAAGTGAAAGGCAAAGGCGTTAATAGAGGCGAAAGCAATGGAAAGCAACTCGAATGATGTACGTGGGGGTGGGGTGGGGGGGGGGGGGGGGTTGTATACATTCCCTCTCTAATATGTATTTTTTTTTTTGCAGAAATGGATGTTTAGATTAGTAATTAAATATCATACATCATTTTTGGGTAGCATACTCCTATAACATCAGCATTAAGTTGTTCTTTAATACAATTACTAGGATAGACAAAAACATGGCAGCCTTCACCAGCTTGGGCACCCTTCCTAGCCAGTAGATCTGCCCTCTTGTTGGTCTCCCTCATCTCCTGCTTCATCAGGGTCTCCAATATGTCGTTGAAGAGTTATTTTCTTAGCATCCAAATCTCTTCTAATAATATTTTTTTTTCTATTTTATTACATTTTTGTGGTAGACAGGAGCATGTATGAGTTGTTGAAGTTTTTCCGAAATAATAATTATCAGAGTTTTATGGAAAACGATTGAAAGAGAATCTCACATTAGAAAGTTTGAAGAAAATAAATACATTTATTAATAGACAAATGTCTATTTCTTGTTTTTGCTTTAGTGTTAAGAATACTAGTATGCATGAGGATCAACACGCACTTGACACTTAACATTGTAAGCATCGTAGTGAGAAACAGTCAGATCATAATCGTTGATTTATTATTTATTTTTCATTGGACGGTCAATTTCTTATATACATACGGTTGGATGATTGATTTCATGTCAGATCATTTGATTATCATCAATAAACTACATTACATACAATGATGGCAAGATCTAGAATGTAGATTACTAAAAAGTGTGATCAAATAGTTATTTTAAAATGTGATTGTTAAAGACACTCAATTTTAAAACTTTACATGTCTATAAATTATAAACATGTCGGTTTCTGTTCAACTCACTTTAATTTTCTTACGATCTCATTCTTTACAAAAAGGTTTGAAACTTTTTAAACTAGTTACCATTTTTGCTTCTTCTTAGTACAATCTATTTTATAAAGAAATAAAATTCTAATATCTTGACAATTAGATATATCCGACAATATTTTCTTTTGGCTTCGTTTGTGCATAAATCAGTCAGACAACATATTGATTACTTATAATCTAATGCACACTAATTTTTAGAATTAGTAGAGCTAAATATCATCTTAAGAAAAGCGGCATAGTAAAGCGCCTTGGAACATTTAGGCGGCTTCTTTCCTCAGTCGCATAATTTCTTCTCCAACATGAGTGAAGGTTCACTTATATTTAATGGATTCCACTTGAACCTAAATAAGTAATGTACCCAAAAAGAGATGAAAGAATAATATTTCGGAAGAAATCTTATGTTTCCTTGAGTTCGTTTGATTGTCTGTCGTGTTCTAATATAGGATATTAAATTAAGAAATTAAAGACTATTCCCCTATAACACAATAAAAACATAAGATTAAGTGAATAATAAAAACATTATTATTATATATTCATTCTAATCCCTTGTGTGGTAAGATGTTAGACTAAGAGTAGAATAACATTTATTCAGTTTAATCCCACATTTAATTAATTCAACCGGAGCAGTCGAGAATTTGATTTGATTTGATATAAAAAGGACCAATGGAGATGGAAGAGGAGTAAGAGCCTTATTCGAGAGAGTATGAGATTGATGTTGAACAGGTGGAATATGTGGGTCGTGTCTTTTTCTTGATTTCCCATCAAACTTAATGACTCCCCAGAAATTTTCCTAAAATATCGGTTTTGTTTCGCAAGTGAAAATTATAAATATTTTGAAAAGACATTCTTTCAATCACCTCTCTCTCTAAATGGGTTTGAAATCTCTTACCTTAATGTATTGACCTTCAATGAAGGATAAAACGATGGCTTTATGCCAGCAAAAGCTCTCAAACATGTTAACCTCCCACAGCAAGCTATACCAACTTTCTTCTAAACTAAAAATTCTTTCAGGTTCCAGATAGTAAGGGCAGACATACACCTATCTTGCATGTGTGCTCCAAAATGCAACGCAGTTGGAGAAAGAAGAAAAGTCAATGCTAGCTAAAGGGAGACATTATGGAGTCAAAAAACTTGAAAGCCTACAGCCTATACCGAAAAGAAATAAAACTAAAATCAGACTCACTTCTCAGTCAATCTAGTTTTATCTATCTACTATTGCCCTACTTGTTTGTGATGGTAGTTAGGGAGGCACCTAACATACCATACAATCCTCATAATTCGTCCCTCACATCATTGATGCTTTCTTTGGCTTTGGAGCTCTCGGGTTTCTTGGCTTCAGAGCTCTCGGATGTTAGACTTGAACCTGGTTTCTGGAGCTTGAAAGGAATTGATGCATGTTTCTTGAGGAATTTGTAGAATCCCACCACTGTACGATCAGCATCGACAGTAATCTGCCAGACCCCAGAATCATGAGAATGTAAAGGGAATACAATACACAAAACCAGAATATAAAAAGGTGGTGAGGTTCACCAGATTAGATTTTTCAAACCCACTTACAGGATCAAAGCTCTTGTTTCCTGCTGGGAAGAAAAGAATTGTGGGGAATCCATCAGCCTGTTTAAACAACACAGGTTTAGTTGGAACAATTTCTTCCAGATGTAGGTTTTTCTCCCCTAAATCCAACAATACATGAAGTATTGAAGCATCAGTGCAAGGGGATTCGTCATCACAAATAGCACTTGTCTTAATTAGATGAAATTGGATAGTGGAAACAAAGGCTTCCACTGTCGTTGGGTAATCCATGTTAAGCATTAGCAGATACGCCAAACGCAACTATCAGTGTTAATTGTATTGCTCTGTACAAATGGAAACCCATAATCCAAAATACCAAGTTCAATCAGCAGGTTGACTTTCAAATTACCTTTGCATTGGGGTGTTCGTTTGTTGTTCCATCCATTTTGGCAACAACAAGAGAGTCAATACCATGTAAATGTTCGGCAAGCTTGTCGTATATTGGCTCCAATGCTTGGCAATGCCCACACCAGGGTGCATAGATCTGAACAGAAAGTTTAAACACATACAATATTCCAGCACGAAGTGAAGGATGATCAATAACATCACATTGTACATGGCCTGAAAATTGCTGGGAATGGTACCTCAAGCAGAACATCTTTTGACTCATCCAAAACGAGTTCATCGAAGTTATTCCCAACCACGATCTTCACATCCTCGTCATTCTATGAATTTCAACAGACGAAATAGAAGTGCGATAAGCAGGATCAGATAACAATTAATCTATTAGAAAAAGAAATAACAACTCACTGTCTCAGGAAGTGGGTCTGACTTATAGAAAGGTTTCAGCTTGTCTTCCATGAAATCCTCCCCGAAAACCTGAAGGATGAAAGAGAAACAAATATTAACAAATGATCAGTTGCAGTTACCTCTTGCCAAGAACTTTGGGACTTGAGAGAACAAAAAAAAAAAAAAAATTCTAATTTGCTGAACTCCTGACACCTTTCCCAACATCAAAAAAGACATAAAAAAGAGAAGCAAACAAAAAAAAAGTAGGTGATCCAACCTTAATTTTATCCAGGGTCAATTCCCCGTCAAGTATATACTTCTTACCGTCATCACTTCCGGTATACCCAATAATCTGCATAAAAGTATATTGACCATTAAAAATTAGTCTCACCTCATATCAAGTCGCTCTTAGCTCAAATGACAACAGACATGCATGAGGTTCATGACAAACTTAAAGAAGGTCACAGAGAAGTTTTACTTTTGAAGCATCCCCTGTGACGCCAAAAAAATCCGACACAGGTCGTCCAACATCTTCATTGTCCATTTCAACGTAGACAAAGATAAGCTGTGAATAGCAGTTGACAATATGTAATATTAGTGTAAAAATTTATAAGTTAGAACTCTAAGTGGACTAGTGGAGTGTTGCACATGCGTCTAACAAGTAAGACATCAACAGTGCAACAAAGATCGGCAGAATTTTTCTTTCCCATCAACATATCAAGATTCAAGAGTCAGATACAAGACATCCACATTGTGCAAAAAATGTCAACTGTTTACAGAATGTATGCAGTCTACTCCAACACCCTCAATCTGTGCAATTATGTTTTTTATTGCTAAAAGCTGTTAACAAGTACCTAAAAAAAGGAAGTAAGAATTAAAAATCAAAGGAAATAAAAAAAAAAAAAAAAAGGTTCAAGTAAACAGGATCCACTAGGAGCCACAAGCATAAAACATTAGTTTTTGCATAGTTCTGTTCACTATATCATTACGACTCAAGAACATAGTATCCATTTTCAGCTTTTGTCATCATCATCGACAATTACCTTCCCCTTGAAAATTTAGCAGCTTCTTCAAATGTTGGGACAACCTTCTCAAAATCATTTGAATTGGCGAACAGCAATAGCTGTAAGCACAAAACAATGGATACGTTAAAACCATAATATGAAAGTGTTAACTCCTAAATAGTAAAGTGCACTTCTATTTTTCTTCCAAACTTACGAGTAATTATAAGATACACATATCCCATATTACCTGTTTCTTAATTGGACTTTCAAATATCAAAGGCGCACTTTCTCTACTAAAAGTGGTCACCAAAGGAAGCTTGTTGTCTAACACAAACTCAGCTATTGCAGACTTGATGAATTGACCATCTGTGAACACAATTTTGGACATGGGTATGTAGGTATATCCAAATATAACAATATTATGATTCCAATCTCTTAGAGCAGTAAATGAAGAAACTAACCATAATGGGCCTCTTTCTCAGCCTCCTTCTTTAACATGACCAAAGCAGGCCGTTTAACATTGGGATCCACATGGAAAAACTTTGCCACATCAGGATTCACTGTTTGGTAGAAGTTGACATCATCTTCAAGTCTCGAAGCAGCAGCAAGCTCCTCACTCTCAGGACCCTGTAATTAATAGGAGTATAAGACAAACCACAAATGGAGGAGTAATGCAGATATAAATAGAATTTTGATACAGCAAACTGCTTGGCAGCACTATGAATTTAGATAAATTGAAGGATTAATACTGGTAACAGAAGTTCTATATCAATTGATCAACTCAATAAAACCACCAAGATGAAGCTCGTATCTCCCAAACAAACAGAAGAAAGCGACTGGGCCAATTGGTCAGACAATGACTACAGCTGCTGTAGACCACAGTCCTTGGGACTACAAAGATGACAAGAATTCTTCAACTTCCATTAAAATATAGTTGAAAAGAAGTCAGTCTCTGCTAGACTGCTGGACACATTGCTTTCATCTAGACTAATTTAACAACAAACTCTATTATCTTGTTCATTTGAAGTGATGCTCTATCAGCTGCAGGAAAAAAAAAAGAAAATCTCTTCAAGAGATATTCCATCTAGATAGGTTAGAGAACTCGAGTACTTAAACATAAATAACAACGGAAAATGTGAAAAAAGCAAGTTCGTGCAATCAACTTCTATGTTTGAAATTATGCAATTTAGTGCTATAATATTTAACAACATAGCATACAGAAAGCCAAAAATACAACATTTCATAAAATCTCCAATTAAACCAAAATTGCATAAAAAAAATACCATTGAAAAGAAGCTTCTTTAGCTCTCACTTAGTAGTTTAGGGACACATCTTTGTCTTTAATAACAGTTAAAAGAAGGGTAAATTGCACAAATAGTCCATGAGGTTTACTACAAGTTGAACTTTGATCCTTAAAGTTTTAATTTCATTAATGTAGTCCTCAAAGTTGTTTACACATTGAACCAATGTAGTCCTGACACTAACTGCCGTTTAAATAATAGAAGGAAAATGTCATGTGCTTGGCACATGAGGGTATTAAGGGACCTTTTTGGTATTTTACAATAATTTCTCCATCCAAACAACATTATTCCCTATTTGAACCATATTAAACATGGACCCAAACACACCTCTTCTCCTTCATCTGTTTTTTTCTTCTTTTCTTTCTCTCTGTCTGGGTTGGACACAAATTCACTATGTCAATCTCTCTCAAACTCCCTCTCTCTCAAACCGAAAGCATCTTCTCTATTTCTCTTTTTGTGTCAAACACTAGCACACTCACAAAACCAAACGCACACACAAATATTTACATATTTACATAACAAATACAATCTCTGTATCTCTCTTTCTTTCCTAAAAATACTATATCCGTCTTGATTCTGCACCAACATCCTGCACCAACACACAAGACCCAAAGCATAATCTCACAAATTCCTAATTTTTCATGAATTTCACGAGCAATTAAGTTCCAAGTCATGGCACCACATTGACATTGCTAATCAGTCAGATTTGATATTACAGTGGTGAAGTCTTTCAGACAGAGAGGGATGGTGATGTTGGTTGCTGATATTGGGATGGTGCTCAGGGGTATCTGTGGGAATGGTGAGGATGAGGATGTGGTTGCCATTAGTGGGGGACTGCCGACAATATCCATGGTTGGGGTAGGGGGTGGGTAGGCTTTTGTCCGAGACATCCGGCTTTTCCATTTATGCCCTTTGCTGTTGGATGCAAAACGACATATATGCTCCTTATAACCCTCATAGACCAGGCACATGATATTTTCCGTTAATTATTTAAACGACAGTTATTGTCAGGGACTACATTGGTCCAATGTGTAACTTTGAGGACAACATTGACGAAATTAAAATTCATGGACTATTTGTGCAATTTACCCTTAAAAAGAAACTTCATGGGCCTTAGACATAAAAAAATATGAGAAATATAATCCACACTCCAGTCTTTCTCTATCACCCAACTACACAAGTCATATAGCAAATCTTTTCTTCTTTTTCCTTCGGACTTAAGTAAGATAGCTAACTGGGGGCAAAAACAAAAGTGAGTGAGTAAATAGTAAATACCACCAATGAATCAAGAAAGCCCAAAACAACTTTATCCAAGGAGGTCAATATGCGCTCTGCGTCCTCTACTGTGGTTATGTTATATATACTAGGTCCTATCTTCTTCTTGATCCAAGTTACTATGCCATCCCTGCACAATAACATAAACTGCTCAGCTTTCCAAATATGCATATCTTAACACAAGCAACAATAACAAATTTATCTATTCTATACTTCCTTGAGTTTGAACACTCTCAAAGTAAACAAAAAAGCACTTCTCAATGTTGTTCCCTTAGATTTGAGTCATTTGACTGCCCTCACTGCATATGTGATGATGGTCAAAGTGAAATTTTAATAAGGCCGAAAGGATACATGACACTAGACCATTTTTAAAGTTATGTAATCATCCCAAGTTAACTGGAAAAGATACAATTGAATTTTTGAACATAACTTGTAAGATGGCAGCCATTTCCCTGAATGCCTACGTTCAAGATTATAGACTTGCACCTCGAAATGATATGCAAAACATAATTTTACTTCTCGCTAAGTGATATAAAATATAGGTTGGTCCATTCATTTTCTATGAATACAAGGAAAAACCCATTCGTGAATTCAATTAAGATGTACAATCTTAATAACAGATTAAAGAAGCAACACTTCTCCGATAGCTTTGACAAAGCAAGGCACCATTTCAACCAAATTAGTAAATGGACGATATTACAATAACTATACACTAAGTAATTGATACGTGCCTATTTTTCTAAATGTTTGTACATCTATATAAATTTCAAATTTTTATTAGAAAGTTGTTTAGTTAATATGTTAGTGGTTTTATGTTAGTGGGTAGTTATTTAGGTAGAAGAGTAATGGGGTGAGTTAGTTATTTACAAGTTGCTATCTTCTTGTACTTAAAGACATTACTATCAATGGAAATGATATGTGAAATTTGTAATGAACTTTCTTACGAAGATTGTGGAGGTCGGGCACCTTGAATTAAACCATCAAAGGTTTCCAACTCCCCTCGAAGCGGGTTTTTTCTTCCCCTATTCTATTTTTTATTTTGCTTATATTTCCCTAAAAGTGTGCACATAACAATTAGTATCACAGAAGGCGCTCTTATTAATGGCTACCTCATTAGAGATTTTGAAGTTGATGCAAGATAAATTTCAAGAAGGATTCAAAAATTAATCAAGGAAAATCAACGCATACTAGAAGGCTTCAACAGAGTTCAAAAATTCCTTCGAGAGAGAATTTAAATGTCAGTCAAACAAGATCCCGTGCAAAAAAAATGAACGAAGAGATGAAGAACAAAATGGTGCTCAAAAAACATCTGGCACTTCAACACAATGAGGCATTAAGATAAGAAGATAAGGAATATTTACTAGTGGGACACAATCCTAGGCCACCACATGAGAAACAAGGCAGTCAATGGAGGTGCATCAAACGTCAGTTGGACTTTGGCATCGAAGAGCCCATTGATCAAGTGAGTGGAGGTGTTCATCATGTTCGCTGTTACGAGGATATGGAAGTAGGTTGGTCTCTTCCTTCCTTTCGTACACAATAAATCAAACTTTGAGTACAAAATTTGTTAAAAAGGGGAATAGAATGTTACATGCCTATTTTTCTATATGTTTGTACATCTATATAAATTTTAGATTTTTATTAGAAAGTTGTTGAGTTAATTTTTAATGGTTTTATGTTAGTGGGTGTTATTTAGGTAGTGGAGTAATGGGGTAAGTTAGTTATTTGCAAGTTGCTATCGTCCTGTATTAGAAGACATTACTATCAATGGAAATGGTATGTTGAATTTGTAATGAACTTTCTTATGAAGGTTATGGAGGTTGGGTTCACCTCGAATTGAACCACCGGGGGTTTCCAACCCCCTAGAAGTGGGCTTTTTCTTCTTCTATGCTATTTTTCATTTTGTTTATATTTCCCTAAAAGTGTGCACATAACAGTGGTGTTGAGGTACCAGCTATATCTCTGGTTTCTAAAAGGGAAGCAAATTATGAACAATCCATTTTTTTCTCTTTTTTGGTAAGTGGTAATAAGTGCTACCAAACCTCATTCCTTCCATTTTAGCATCAATAAAATAATGTTCTTCCAACAGTTTGACTTAGGTTAGCCGAAATTCCACATTTGCTTTAAATTTTGTTTCCCTCAATCCCCAAAATAAATTAGAAAAATGATATTTAAATCCAATCTAGGACCCTAAGGGAACTTGCAAATAATCTAATAGCTACATAAGATCAAAACTTTCGTTAATTTACTTTTCCTACCATCGCTCATAACCCAAAAGTTCATCTAATCCCAAACCGAGATCCTCAATTCAAAATCCACCATCACGTGTGTGTATATGTGTGCGTGTGGGTGTGAATGTAAATATTCAGACATATAAGGGAGAGAGAAGGAACTAACTTGGTGCGTTGGCCAGTATACGGCTTGGGATTACCATCAACAAAGAAATACAAAGTAGGAAACCCTTGAACCTCATACTGCTCCGTCGACTCACTCTCCTCCGTCGCATCCACTTTCGCCAGCATCACCTTAGCTTCCTTCAGCTCCGTCGCCGCCGCGGCGTACTCCGGCGCTAGAGCTTGACAATGTCCACACCACGGTGCATAAAACTCCACCATCACATACTGATTACTCTCTATAAAATCACTGAAATTTCCATCCGTCAAAACGAAGACGTCCTCGTCGTCGATTTTAGGAATCGAGTACTCATCCTCGTGCTCGAATTCGTCGTAGTTTCCCAAGTCCTCGTCGTCGTCGTCGTCGTCTTCAGGGTCCATTTCATGGAAGGGATCTAAGTACTTAGGGCGTTCCAATGAGGCGTCGAATTCTTCCTCGGCTTCAAGGTATCTGAGATCTTCGTCGTCATTTGAGTCGGCTTTGGAGTCTGATGGTTTGGAGAGAGATGGAGTGGTGAGGAGAGAGAAAATAAGAAGAGCTGAGATTGAGAGGACGACGACGAGTCGGCTCGACATTTTTTGCCGCGAATTTTCTCAGATCTGAGGTGAGACTGCGAGTTCACTGTGAGGTCAGAGAGAGAGAGAGAGAGAGAGAGAGATTTGGTGCGGAACTGTTTCTATAGTGCGTATGGTATGGACGCAGCGTGGTTTGCTAGTTTGTGTCCTCCTAAGGTTCTCATAGCAACAATTTAGGAACGTATTTGATTAGACATCTAATCTGTATGCTCATTTCGGTTCTCTACCTATTTTCATGTTCCATGTCCCGACTGTACTCTTGGCTTTCATTTACGATGTTAAAAAATAATAATAAAAGAATTATAAGTAATCTAATATATTGTTAATGAACTCATAATTTATAATTTTTCATTGGATAGTAATTCTAAACATGGATATTAGATATTAAAGCACTGGAGTTTTTGCCCACTCACCAAGATTTAAGAGGCAAAACTACAACGAGTTTACTAAAGTTAAAAGTGAGAGAAAGTAGGAAACAGGTTTTAGAGCATCTAAGATGAAGGCTTAGTCTAATTGTAAGGACACTGTTTGTCAGCCTTTATTAAAGATTCTCATAGCAAAACCTTAAAAAGTAGTCCCATAGCGTACTATGAAACAAGAAATGTGTTTCAACCCATGGGTGGAGCCAGTTACAGGCCATAGGGGGGAATGGCCCACCCTGAAAAAAAACCAGTTCTTTTTATCACTTACATGTGTGATAGATATTCTATAAATTAATTCGCAAGTGGTGCCCACACTCATAATCCATGAAAATTCTTTTTATTTATTCATATTACTCACATATACCTTTTAGATCACCACACAAACCAATGGGACTTTGAGATAGAATAAGAAAACAGGGGAAATAACAATTGAAGAAAAGCAATGCTAAGATGGTTATTGTGACTCTTCGGCAATTGCGACTCTCTGGTGACTTTTTTAGAAATAGATTAACTGTGAAGGGCTATAATTAGTCTCATTTTTTTTTATTTTTATGTAAAATGGGTAATTAGATTTTTTTTTTTTTGTTTTTAATTACACCCAACATGTATTGGCTTTTGGCAATTTGGGTTTAGCAAAATTTTAGAAATTAAATATGATTTTCAAAATTTACTTTATATCCTTTACTCTAGTCAATTGAAATGAAAAAGATATAATTTTAAATTTAAGTGCCCACTCTCATATTAATTTCTAGCTCTGCCCCTGTTTCAACCAATTACAAAAACAATATTGCTATTGATGGTGTAATTTACGCTGTTGTATAATAAAGTTCAAGGCTCAAAAGGTAGAAATGGATTAAAAATTTATTAGGAATGATAATGAGGGTTCACTGAGATGTTTAGTCGGTGCTACTAGGTTCGTAGTGGTGAATAACCAATCACATAAACAACAACCATCAATTGAAATCAATAGACAGGAGATTTATATTGGTTTATCAGCTCAAAAGTTTAGTTAGTCTACTATAATGCAGTCTCTTGCTTTTAGGGGGTTTTCTATTATTTGGGGAAGACGATTACAAAACTACAAAGAATCTACTCTCAAATCTTAGATCCTTTACAAAGCACGGGATCAGTCCCTATTATAGTGTGTAGGAGCTTCGCGTAATCATCGTAATCCCTATGTAGCCGTCGTGATCCTTGCATAATAGTGGGGATCATTGCATAATTAACGTGATCTTCTTGGGGTTGGTACAATCCATGTGCTGAGAATGTTTGGTCGTTAGAGACTATATTCCCTAGACGTGACCTTCTAGAATGTGTGAGCTATCATTGTCACAGTGTACACGAGGGTCACGTTGACGATGATTTTTGATCTGTGCCAATAAGGTGGGAGACCTGAGCTAGTGTAACAACATGGAGAGTTAGGGATTAGGAGTTCAGCTTGTTCACTCGATTTTTGTTGTCTCGAATTGGAACCTAGATTCTGACATTATCATGTGGGTCCCTATTAGGGGCATGTCTTTGAGATGCTTCTGAGCCGAGCTTAACCTTGGATAATTTTTAGTATCATCAGTTGTCCCTCAGTCCTGAGCCAAGTCTGCCTTGCCTGACGTGGATCGGGAATGACCTACACTTTTTGGTTATGGATAACTCTGCTCGTATTTTACTTAAGATATTGCTTCTTTAATACTACTTGTATATAGGGCCAAGCCTAAGGTCTGCATGGTCCCCTTGACTTGGGCTTATCGAAAATTTATGAGCTTAGGGGATCATTGTATGTTTTTTAGCTAAAGAACTCATCTTAAGTTTATGAGCTTAAGGACTCATTGTATATTTATGAGCTAAAAAACTAATCTTGAGTTTATGAGCTGGAGAACTCATTTTGAGTTTATGAGCTGGAGAGCTTATCTTGAGTTTATGAACATAAGAGCTCATCGTATGTTTATGAGCTTAAGAATTCGTCACGTTCTCTAAATGAGTTGAATCTTTCATTCATTGATGGAGAATTTTTACAAAAAAAAACCTCTCATCTTCTACTTTCTAGCCTCACCTCACTACTAGTAAAACCTCTTCAAATGATTTGTGTTCCACGAGTGAGGTAGGATTTTTCATTCTTTAGTTTGCAACTCATAGTTTTTTGCCTAACCACCTTTGTGATTACGCACTGTTCTTCCTAGGGTTTCGATCTCTCCTATTTTCCTTCTCCTCCTGAGTAGAGGAGTTTTCAAATTTTAAGAAGAGAGCTTCTTCACCATTAATGTATTTCGCTGCTTTTGTCAACATCTCGGCCATATTGACTTTGGGGTTCTTGGCAACCAAAAATAATAAATCCTTCGATTGGACCTCCAGCCTGGTGGTAAAGGCTATGTGGACAAACTTCTCATTAAGGGCAATTACTTTTAAAGACTCTGAGTTGAATTTCAAAACATAACTTCGTAGTGATTCGTTTGGACCCTGCTTTACACTCTATAGGTGGTAGTAAGGCTTTCGGTAAGTTTGGGCCTGTAAGATCCGAGTAAATTTGAACTTTTATGACAAATGGGCAAAATAGTAATTTGTCACTATAATACGGGTTACAAACCTGAATTTTTATAGAGTTCGGATGATGAAATGAAT